TAGAGAAAATGTGTTCCTTATAGCGTAGAGATTGTTCATGATGCATGATGCAGGGGCTCAACTTATTGATCGGAAGTTACTTTAACATGTTGCAAACCTATGTTATAACACTGCAATATAAGTGTAATGAATACTGTGCTTGGATAGCATGTTCATGATTTATGAAATAAATGGTGAAAATAAAATTTATTGCATTAATGGCTAGTAACGCAAATTATAAAATATAGAGCAGTTAAAATTGTTTTCGTAAAGGTAAAGTGTATTATAATTGATTAGTCGCAATATTGGAGTACAGAATGTAACAGGACTTCTCACACAGGATTTTTCGCCAATATCTGCGTTAATAAAGTACAGTAACAAATAAATATAATATATCAGTAAGTATAAACTATTCAAACCTATGAAATTGGCCTAGTTATACAAAACACCAATACCTAGCTAATTAATATGGCAAACAGACTTGGCTATAGACAGTATTCTGAAATATCACATAATGATATTCCTGTGAGATTGTAAGAAGCCTGCTTCTTATTTCTTTAAAACCGCCAATAATAATCGCAAAAGATTCGGATAGTAAAACAGAGTGTATGACACGTTTTTGTAAACAAAGTATTCAATACGAGTACTGCAGATTAAATAAATAATGAAAGATGAAGATATCGATATTGGAAGATGGTGGTTCATATTTGAGAAAATAATTGTAATAAACTAATGATCACAAGAATAATGAGGAGCAGGGAAGGATCGACAGCACCATCCTTAAATACATATAGAAAACTAACTCTTACTAATCAAGATTTTCACTTAGTGAAGAAAATAATACTTCTAGCTTGTATGTATATGGTATCTCCAGATACTTATGCTAAGAAGTTTCGTACAGTAGATAATTCAAAGAGAAGAAAACAGCCATACCTCGAATAGGGCTGCTGATAAATGTACACCTGTACAGTATACATCATTTCATTAAACCAGCCATCATCTAGAATGACTTCATTAATAAGCACAGCCACTATTTTCTTGCCACATAGTGCTATAATACATATTTTCAAGTTCACTATTACCACATATTACTACATATTGTTATTAAATGTGGTTTATGGTAGTTCACAAAAATGGACAATGTCTGTTTGTTCAACACCTTACCTAACCACTCTTGTACACATACGAGTATATCTATATATCTTGCTAAATGCAGTCTCATACCTAATCTTTAACATTAACGTTAACACTGGAAAGTAATTTCTTCATTTACTTTTCTATTTACTTGTATTAAGTATTGATATGGGGAAATATTTTAGTAACGAAGCAAGGAAAACAAAACATGAAATATAATATCATGCTTCTAGATTAAAAATGATACCTTACTGATATATGCAGTACGTACAAATAGACTTATCCCAGGAGCTACTAAAGAAGAAACATTGTACCACTGCTTATACAGTACAGATATTTCGAAAGTGCTAAGATAAGTGTAGTACATACAGTATGACATAGAATAGCGACGTTAGGATCATAGGGAAGAATCACAATGGTTAGGACTTCCAAGTGTTAGGAAGGCTTACTGTAGATTCTGCAAACACTCTACGGTATCATCCACCGTCGAGGGTATAAAAGCCGAGAGTTTTTAAAGGAAGGAAAGTTGGGATTATATCACTATTAATTAATTAACGAACAAATGCTTTACAAGCATCAGCTTCAATAATTGCCTTATCAAGATTTCAATATTTAGATACTATTAGTTTTCGAGTAAATTCGATTTACGAGTATGGACATCTAAAATTTATAGCACAAATTTGAAGGAGGATATAAGTTAATATTTTAAAAAACTATTGTAAAAATTAAACCACTACTAAGGAACTAATTAACCTGCGCTTTTCATTGTAAGACAAAGCAAACAACAATATTTAAACAAATACATGGTTACTGCTTTATAAAATAATAATATTAATGGTTTTTTTTTCCGATAACTCAGCAATTAACTAGCTTAGAGAGATCACTATAGCTAAACGAAAATTAGAATCACTCAAAATTAAAGCAGTAAACGTAGGGCCTATTGGTTTATTAGCTAATTAGCTATTCCAACGTCTAGTTCCTAGAAAAAAGCTCAGCCATATCTATAGGTTGTTAACTAACTATTGTGACTGTTGTAGAGTATTAATTAATTAATGTACATTATATAATTGCTCTGTTTTTAAGGCTTTCTTCTTATTGACAAATTAGCCATATAGTGATTCAGACCTCAATTGTTAAGTCTAATTCAAGTTATCCGCAATACTTGGTGAATTCAGAAATTAAAATTAAAATCTCTAAACTAGTCCTAAACCGACTCTTTAAACCCTTTTTTAAATTAGTTACGACTTATTAAATTGTATTGTGCTAGCGATAAAAGGAGGGAAATTAATTAAAACCCATTAAACATCCTGAACAGTATCAGGTAGGTAACTTAAAAGGAGATAAACCATTGCATGGATATAACTGGTAATAATCTTTAGTTGCTAGTTCCAACATACACTCGAATTGAAATTGCTAAACATTAGTGTTTTCATGACAATCCATAAATTGAAAAGGTAAGAAGTACCAGCACCGCTGATATCATAATTAAATGCATTTTACCGTATTTGCTTCTCAGTTGAAGACCGTGCTTACTTATTTTCTTTGCAATTCTGTAACTAAATTAAAAATCTAAAATTATCTGTTGATAAAGTTCATCTTTAGCTATTGGCAACTACTTCTACGTCTCTGTCATTATCTCGAAGTCTTGCATCTATAAATAGATGTGCAATAAGATTTTCATTTTAACGGCATCATTCATATTCAGTTTTTATCGAATTAAGTAGTTGAGGTAAAAGTAAAGTAAGGCATTTATGAGTTACTCCTTATGTCATGATACAATTATTGGAAAGATGAAAGCCTTGGACGTTACCCGGAAACTGTATACCACTTCATAATGATTATATTGGCTTGATGTTAAGTTAATTAGATGAATAATTAGATATGTGACGTGAATGCAATCCTATTTCTATAATCGATTATAATTATACGGATATGAGTGTCTTTCACCCCGAGGTTGCAACACCAAAATTAGCAAGATTTTTTCCTTTAAAGTAGTCTTACCTATCTAAACCACTATCTCCAGGCACTCTTTCTTTAATCTACCCAAACCTAGGATCGAGTCTTAGACGATAATGACGTTAAGAATGAAAACCTTATTGTAAAAACTGTTTTACTCAATGTCCGGCTGAACTTACAGTATAACCTACAATTTACAACCAACCGTGATCGACTAACTTTATCAACTGCGAGGCTTTCTACGTACAATATAGCCACATCAATTTGCCTAGTGCAAAGCACTAATAAATTAATAGCCAAGTCTACATATTTGGTATAGTAAGAATCACAATGTACTTTTCTATGACATTGGATATTTGTTGATGAATAGCTAGGTGTATACCGCACCAATTTGCCTGGTGCAAGGCAATACTAAATTAATAGCCAAGTCTACTTACTATAGTAAGAATCACAATGTACTTTTCTATGACATTAGATATTTGTTGATGAATAGCTAGGTATATACCGCACCAATTTGCCTGGTACAAAGCAATAATAAATAAATTAATAGCCAAGTCTACTTACTTAGTATAGTAAGAATCACAATGTACTTTTCTATGACATTGGATATTTGTTGATGAATAGCTAGTGTTAACATATGATTCATCACCTATCCAAACTCTAATATGGATGAGACAATAATTCATTCATTCATGTCGTAGTGTCTACAATACAAGCGTAAGCGAGCTATTACGCTGGAAAGCAATGCGCTTATACTGCAATACATCATGGTCTACACGATGGAGTCGAGAAGCCTTATGGCCAGATTTATGTTTGGCTATAGTTCTCTTTCAGTGGCTAAGTTAGAATTGAATCAAGCTTATCCTACTCTAAATCCCGACTTCAAGTGCGCTTTAAAGCAACCCAGTTCTATGGCTGATCGAGCTTATCCTACTCTAAATCCCAACTTCAAGTGCAATTGAAAGCAACCCAGTTCTATGGCTGATCGAGCTTATCCTACTCTAAATCCCAACTTCAAGTGCAATTGAAAGCAACCCAGTTCTATGGCTGATCGAGCTTATCCTACTCTAAATCCCAACTTCAAGTGCGCTTTAAAGCAACCCAGTTCTATGGCTGATCGAGCTTATCCTACTCTAAATCCCGACTTCAAGTGCAATTGAAAGCAACCCAGTTCCATGGCTGATCGAGCTTATCCTACTCTAAATCCCGACTTCAAGTGCAATTGAAAGCAACCCAATTCTATGGCTGATCGAGCTTATCCTACTCTAAATCCCAACTTCAAGTGCGCTTTAAAGCAACCCAGTTCTATGGCTGATCGAGCTTATCCTACTCTAAATCCCAACTTCAAGTGCGCTTTAAAGCAACCCAGTTCTATGGCTGATCGAGCTTATCCTACTCTAAATCCCGACTTCAAGTGCAATTGAAAGCAACCCAGTTCCATGGCTGATCGAGCTTATCCTACTCTAAATCCCGACTTCAAGTGCAATTGAAAGCAACCCAATTCTATGGCTGATCGAGCTTATCCTACTCTAAATCCCAACTTCAAGTGCGCTTTAAAGCAACCCAGTTCTATGGCTGATCGAGCTTATCCTACTCTAAATCCCAACTTCAAGTGCGCTTTAAAGCAACCCAGTTCCATGGCTGATCGAGCTTATCCTACTTTAAACCCCAATTTCAAGCGCAATTGAAAGCAATCCAATTCGATAGCTGTTCGTCGCTCGTTGAACACGTGATTCGTACCTCAATGGCCGACGCTCTGCTACAGTGTACAGTGTACAGTACATTACAATTCATACTGTATGAATAGACTGTACCTTACAGTGTACAGTACGCTTATACAGTACAGCACAGGACGTACTGTAAAAATAGACTGTACTGTCTTGGTTGAAGCGAGTGTACGTCACTTGTCGTCAAGCAAAATCGGATCCAGAATGGCGTCGTCGCTGGATGACTTCCAGGACGATTTGGATTTTCAATCCAACCATGACGATTATGGACACTCTTCTAAATTATCCAGAGCCTTGCTTTATCTACAAATCTGTAAGCTAACGTAAACCACTTCTTGTTAGGCTAATTCATTCTACCTCATATTGTATAGCAAAGTACAGTAGTGCCATCGACAGCTGTTACTCGACTTTGAATACCTGATGCGAATGGCCCCAGTCCATCATGACTGTGTGCAATATTCTCTTCATGAATGATATTAATGAATATTCAAAAATCACTTGTTTTACGTCTATCGGCAATATTGCTTGCATACGTAGTGATATTCGTTATTAAAAAGGATTAAATGAATCCAAGTTGTTTTCATCTAAAATCGACATATACAGTACTGTATACCGCTACTCCCACTAGGATGATTAGCAATAATAATGATAATAATAAACGAGTAATACGTATTACTTTGCTACCATATTGATCGCTTGCAGACTACCAACTAATTCAATTTCAGTCACGCTGATCATTCTGATAATTTTATTCCGTTGATACACGGATAAATAGAAAGATAGGGGAATAGTGGTTGTCAATGTTGGATCGATCAAGGTCATTCTTGCTTTATTTTGCATACCCATACGATCTTTTGTGATGGATGTCTTACTTCTGTTTTAGATTTTGTTACTATTGCTACAATCCTTGGAACTGGAATTTTAGGTATGGATAATTATCAATCAGTATATGAAATGTTATTAGGCAACTCCATATCGTCTCTATTATACAGTATATTAGAATACTGTTTTGCTAAGAGTGGAAATTTCACTGAAATAATTTTACCCAATATGCTAACGCAAATAGTTCAATTCACATGTCTGCTTATAATCATCATTGACTTAGAATGGGATATATAGAATCAACCCATACGTACGAGTAGAATAGATTATCGTAGGAAATATGAAAATCGCGATTCAATGTTTAACTACAGTCATCCAGGAATTGTCGTAACATCAAATCCATTATATTGTTGATGTTGTTTCTACGATGATATGATAGACTGTAATGCACACATGGATAATAATGAATTATTAGACGAGAGTTGTCATCAAAACTGCATCGTTTACTCCTAATATAAAACTCCATCTCTAAACTGGATTCTAATGTATCATGGTAGGTTTACCGGTAACATTGTCGCGTTCTGGGATGGGTCCATTTACTGTTGTTTTTATATTTGGTTTCTTTATGCAAGTATGTATGAGAATCAATCAATCAATAATTCACATTGTTTCATGTTCAATAATCCTTCCTGTGTTATGCAGTGTTTTCATGCCGTAGCGCGAACGTCAATGAGTAATATCGACAATTGAACTTTCATTCCAGGTCTTATTAATTTACTTTTTTACAATCCTATTGCAAAAAGCATTTGCAATTAAAAATTTATATGGCGGCATCAATGATAAGGTAAGCTTGATTGTTATCGTAATGTGTAACTTTGTATTGGCATTTAATCCTAGAAGAAAAAAATTCTCTGTGACTCAATATTGCCATGTTCATTCTGTTATTGTAAATATCACTTTATGCCGTCATCAAAGTGTTCTTTACGAGCTCATCTGTTGCAATCTTATCTGTAGCTTGTTTCCACAACGAATAGCTGACAAGATAGGATAGGATTAATTGTGATTAAGTATAATGGAGTGTTATCAATGGTCACGATCAATAGTGCCAACCTGAATGCATAATTGTACTACATTTCATTCCAAGGATCCTGATGTTTTACTGTCGTACTTCTATAATGTTTTTAATAGTCACGGTAGGAACTGATGACTTGAGATTTTACAAGCAATCCCGAAATAGTGATCATAATAGAATCACTACGTTTCTTGATTCGTAACACTCTTCTAACCTTACCGTCTTCAGTATGCGTAGTATCGACGTCCTAATCAGCTTCGTTTAAAATTCCTAGATAAGATAAGTTTAATGGCATCGGTCGGACATCCTAATGACCTATATTTAAATTTTCTTATTATAATTAATTATGGATGAGATTCTTTATTAACTTCTTTACATTCATTCAGTACAATGTTGCCCCTGACTTGGAAATACTGTATTAATGATGTTGTCGCGAAGAAATGAGTTAACTTCGTATTCGGAAATGCATCTGTTCTATTCGCTATTGAATAGCATCATTGCAGAAAATAGAATAAAATCAATGTCAACTTGCCTGCATGTATAAAATTAGTGTAAAATGTTGGAAATCATGAGCTAGTTGTAGTCAACGTTATAAATTTGGCTAATGCTTGACCGTCTTACGTATGAAGTAAAAGTACGGTGGTTATCAGTACCATTTAAAAAACATTATGAAATGTGGATAATGTCGTACAGTAGTGACATGTTTTATGTGCCTAATTTTTTTTCGCTTCAATATTTAATAAATTGGGATAAGCTTAAATAATCATAACAGCTATACTAGTAAAAACTGTAAGTGTTAGCATTGAATAATGTTTGTGTAAGTACTCATTATTGTACTTTTATACGCATTTTAGCAATGAATCGAATGCTACAGTATTATTACTTATTTTGAAATGTTTACTGACTCAGTTACGTATATATGAGTATATACTTTTCATTTGACAAATCAGAACTGAGTGATGAAATGCATATATTTAGGATCTTGATAATGAAAGTTTGCCGCTACATCCAGTTCCGATCGCGTCGCAAGATAATGAGGAAGAAAACGGTTAGGAAGATTTCATAGTTATCTTGAGTAATTACAAGGCAATAGAAACTGGTGATAAGTAAGTAACAGTTATTTCTTTGTTTATTAATGATGTTTACAGAAGACTTTGTTACTGGCAAAGTTATACAACCTCTGGATTTGAGTGAAAGAACTTACCCTGATTTACACATGATGGGCGAACTATTTTTACCTTGTTTTGCGCGACAGTTGTTTGACCTATGTACAGTCTTGCTTTTGTAAGTAATTATTAACTCAGAATGCTGTAGCCGATATCTTACTTAATAAATTCTGCCATTAAAATAATAAGTCGCTTGTTTCAAATCGAGTAGACTAATAATATGCCGTGCAGTATTATGCACGTATAAAGTATACTTGTATGTCTTTCTATTTATAACGTTTATGCATACGATATTTAATTATATGTTTCTGGTAAATCTTCCTATAAAGTGTATCATTGCTCATTAGCTATGCATTGGCTGGTAGTGAAGCATATGCAGAAATTATTGGCGCTAGGTAAGTTTTGCTATCCTCAAATTAAGTGGCGAAAGTGATTAAGTTTTAGTTATAGCAAATCGACACTAAAAAATGTAATATGATTTCTTTTGGCTATAGGCATGTCTTTGTTATTCCTTTTTTTTGTTGGATTTGCACTTTATTAATTATTTTCGCCCAAAAAATCATTCAACCCATGGTTTCTATTCTTACGTTAGCTAAAGGTGGCCTACTTATTGGAACGGTAAGTGTCTGAAGTAGAACTCGGACATATGCATCCCTATGTATCAGTTTCTTTGGACGTCTACGCTTACTCTGATTGATGGATATTTTACAAGTTATATTGAACAGGATCTTTGTTATTCTATGATTTCTTTAAAAGGTCTTTGTTACATTCTACGTTGGTACACAAGTTAATCAAGATAGTCATACTAAATGGAAATACATAGGGTCTCCATTTCTGATGGGTACAGTTGCCGTAGGTAAGAAATGCTGTATTACTGATCAAGCTGTATTTGGGAAAAACGATTAAAAATAGTCAATGTTTTTCAGGTGGTATAATAAATGTCATGCCAATGATGTTTAGTAAAATAGAACATAATAGGAGTCAGGTATTGCATGTTATATAAATGAACGTTTTTACTCCTCAACAGTTAGGACGGTTACATATTTATTTACCTTTACCATCATAATCAGGTCAAAGGATTTTTAAATTCTATCCTGCTTGGCTTATTAACATGTGTAATACTAAATATTGCTTGGTAAGAATTTATTTGTGTAACTGTATTTTACTAAGATCACAGGTTATGAGCAATTCAATAATTTAGCGTTGCTAACGTTTTCAGGTGTTATTCCATTTTATCAATTGTGCCACAGAGATGCACTGACATACAGGGTGGCGATTTAATATTCAATGACACTAATGGTATTATCCATTGTAATGTCTCATTAGCGTGGTATGTTTCTTCTTCGATTATAACGATATGAGATCAGTAACATTTTATTTGTAAGTTTTTCATCTAAAACATAATCTATCATTAATAAGGTCCAAGCGTAATGGTGAAATCTCAACTATCCCTTTGACAAGAGTATGGAGATATTAATTTATACAAAAAAATTACGGGAATTCATTTATAATAATTCTATTGCTGCAGAATTTGTTTTCGTAACTGTAGTTAAATGAGACGTAATAGCATGCTAAATTTTGTTCTAACAAAATCTGTTACTCTAACTGTACTGTACTCTTTTAGATCATAAGAAGTGATTATATATCATACGATTGGGTTGCTTGGCTGGTCGAATTCTTTATTATGATTAGTATTACTGTTTCATTTTTAACAATAGGATCGGCTTATAGACATATGCGTAAGTTATATAACTGATTACCGCGGATTATCCATCTTCTCACGATATTATTAGCGCAAACTAAATGTGTATAATTATTTTGTTGTCTAGTTGAAGGAGTACTCAATTCGTTCACGGTCTCAACAAAGAGTTCGTTTTCTTTTAGAATTAATCAAGGTTACGGTCAACTTGTCAACCGTAAATGGTTAGTTAAGCACGGTTACTTACGTTCTAGACATATTTTAGTTTATATTCAATGGCTTGACTCTGTATAGTAAACAGTATGTCATTAAGCATCAAATCGACAATCGATGCTATTTCTAGAAGTATCTAATTTGATCGTTTGATTATTACGATAGCACCATCGAATTGTCTGTATACTTCTTAGCTTTTGGTATCATCTTCGCCATTGCTATGATGGACCCTAGGGTGAGAATACTTGCTATTCAGCTAAAATTTACTTAAAAGTTGGGATTTCTTTAATCATGTTTTTAAATAGGGATTCGTAACGATTCTCGACAAAGCAGCCTCGTTACTAATGAATTTGCAAGCTGGCCTTTTCATTACATTCATGATTCATAGAGCTCAGACTGGAGGTTACAAGTAAGTTGATATAGTATTTTATCATTATTCGGACAATACTTTCTCAACAAGGTTTTAATTAATTTATTCTTTCTTCTTGTACTGATTCAGAAATTTACCCATTCCTGTCAAAATGAATGGCTATTTGTATTATTGTAGTTACATTATGACATTTTATTTTATATTTGCCGTCGTTTATGACGTCGTCATAACAGCAGTCCATGCTCTGAAATGAACTGTATGCAGATTTACTTTTAATTGTATAAATCAAGTACCGTACTAATTTTTGTAATTAAAATCATAGAAAATTCACGAATGATATTATAATTTTCCACTTACAGAACACTGCATGCCTACTTTACCTTCGTGAATTTTAACTATCTATTATTTTGAATCATAAAAGAACTTCTACTACACGTAATTGAGCACATAGTCTTATATATAATATTTATAAATGCACTAAAAATTAATTACTTCATACGAGTATGCAAGAACTTTTAGTTTTCTGCTAGAAATTTAAATACGAAAAGATTAATATATTTAATTGCGTAGAAAAAGTTGCATTAATTATCAATCTGCTATCAATTTATACGGGTATTAGACATAGATTCTGATCGTGAAGGATTAATATATTGTATCTGAAGTACATATCTTATACAGTACATTAATTACCATAATGCAGATAAATTAGTTACGTCTCTATGTGAGCTATGCCTGTATGCAAATTATTTTGATTTTGATTCATTATTTTCTCGACAGCGCTTTGAATTAAAGACATCTGATATTTTATTTTGCCACACGATGCGTTCATGTTAAATAAGCACAGCTTGGTTTATTTGCCGTTTCTTTCATTACTATGTAAATACATACAGTATATATATATATATATATATATATAGATATGGAGCTATATTTATATTTATATATAAATAATTCACTTTAATACGGACATATAGCTTCTTTATTTCTCGCCAACTCAACTTAAAAATTAAAAAATCTCAATAAAAAAGTTGGCATCACATTAAAAAATTATTTGCGTGAATAATTAATAGATACTGATATGTAAATACACACATCCATGAATGTTGTCTTCCTACATATTTTCCAATTAAGATTCAATGTCTTCAACCAATGCTTGCACCTGAGCACAAAAAGTGAATAAAAGTCAACCTAACTGATAGCAATGACGTCGTCAACAGTCTCAAATACAGTCATGATAAATCACCGATATACGCGTATTATCTTCCTATTTTTATACTTACTAAGGCATCACTAGATATTTCTCGCCCTAATATATCTAAGCAAATAAAGAATAGGCATTGACATAAAAGTGGCTGCCAACTTAATAAAATGGTTATTATCAAGATCCAAAGTTATATTCAACAGTCATCTATATCAGGTACCCAGAGTAAATTTACCTTCAACCATTAACTTGGGCATTTTTCCTCCTCCATAAGCTAATGCTTTACGACGATAATTCTCACCACTAACACTAAGAAGTACGTTAAAAAATTATAAAAGTTTATTACAATGTCGATCCTGCGATCGGAGAGATTAGCCGATTAGCTAGCAACAAATCCACCCGACGTACTATTCAATATAATACCTCGAAAATGGATTCTCCTTGAAACATTCTGTCCATATCATAGAAGCAATTGCTCGGCTCCAAATGTAAGAGTAATACCTTGCTCCATAATGGCCAAAATGCCCAAATCGTAAATGTGGAGCCTACAAATTACATTCCAAATAGTGTTTAAATTTGCAATGCTTTTGTCTCAGTTAGCTAACAATCAATTCATAAACCCAAGCGCTCTTACCGCTCCTTTGACGTAAGGAATCGCAGAGTACTCTTCAAGAATTTCGTTCACTATGTTGTTTATATTCTATAATGTGCGTAACACGATCATAATATGCATAAAATTACAAGAGGAACTAATTTATGAGTTACTGTATGTCGAGCTTACTCCATCTGATGGATAATGACAATGCAGTGTCAGGTCGATTATAGCTAAGTTCAGATGATGTTGTAAATCCTATTAAGTCGTATAATTGATCAAAATCAAATCGTTAATAAAAATAAGATCGAGATATTATGTAGAAATAACATCTCTAAGTAAAATGGCTAGGCGTATAGTACTTAGATAATTATGATTACCAGCGCAGTAAAACATTTTTGCTCGGCGATATAATCCTTAATGACATTATCAGGCAACATCTATTCGTTTTGGCATTTACATTTCGAATATCAATACAACGTGAAAAAACGAATGTTTTTTATGGATAGACTAAAAAATAAGGTATGCGTAAAGTACCATTCCTGTTTCATGATGTCGTCCAATTGCTGCTAAAACCTAGGATATACAAACATAAAGTGTGCTAATATATTAATATGGCTAAATAAACTAAAGTATTGCCATTAGTTACCCTATGATCAGAGGCAAAACGCTCCATTAATACCGATGGAACTTCTGCAAAATCTATAGCGCAGCGAGTGCCTGTCAGCATAAAAATTTGTAAAATAACAGCTTCAAAGCCAGGCAATGATCTAATAAAGGCCAACAAGGAAGAGAATTGCTGTACCGGTAACATGTTGATATTTTGTTCTCGCAAACATTGCTGCCAATTGCAATATAATAAAAGAGGAAAATAATTAGCTACATTCTATGACATCTTACAGAAATCTTATTTCGATAAATAACTCAGAAAAGCTTACAGTGCATTGCGTGTCCCATTTCATGGAATAAATTCGACATAGACTGCATACATAGAGACAAAACCTGATCAAAACTGAAGTAACTCATTTCCTATAACATCCAATATCATGATTAGATTTCAAAAATTCTTACCGAATAGTTAAGAAAGCTTGGTGTTGAAGTGCTCGGAGGTCTAGATTAAATAACCACATATGCCAGCAGAAAAATACTTATTCTAGTATTGTGCTTTATAATTTAAAGGTACACTGATTGATTAGCTTTGAATAACAGAAAAACTTACGCAAAGTTGCAAGACAAAACAGCAACAGGTAGCTAAAAACATTAACAATTTGATCCAATTTAATCATCCAATTAATAGTTCAAAACTATCGTCACAGCTTATTCTTACCTGATACGATCCATCTTCTAGTAACTTTCCTCCAGAAATAGTATGATGTGAATCCTGTATAATGTTAACCAAGAACGTTAAAATTGTCCTTATGTTCGAGCATAATATCATTTAGTAACTTACCGAAGACGAAAACTTCTTGTAGCGTGCGTATAAATCGCAATATAAATACCCTAAAACATCACCGTCTCCATCGTAGACGCCCTTCATGGGTAAAGGAAATTAGTTATATTTACTATTTTTCCTTACAAATCACAGATAAAGCACCAATTACGGAGCACTTAGAAAGAATTACCAGTTTAACAATCTTGTCGGCCCACAGCTATTAACAGATATCCAAAAAGTACATGCTCGGTAAATTTAAATTGTCATTTCAAACTATAAAATTATCAAAATAGTACATTCTATTTAAAAATTTTATATACCTCATTTCGGCCACATCGCACTGGTACCAATGACACATTGTAAATTTTCTTGAACAATGTATTTAGTCCCTTTACCAAACAAGAGAATATAAATAGACGCAACGGGATGGGAGTAAAAAACAATATAATATTTATTTAGGATACTGGAGTACCTCCATGCAAGTGCCAACCGAAAAATATTCGGATACTGAACCACCTCCTGCTGGAAGTCTATTGAGAAATAACGAGTACTGCATGAATATTCATTATTACTATAGCTGTATAGTTGAAAATGTATATTCACCTAATTTTTTTATTTGCTAAAGCAAAATGGTTTACATCCCAAGGTTTAATATCCTATAAGTGTAAGGGTTGCAAGATCTTTCAAATTAGTAAAATTCTATATAGTTCTGATATTTTACTAATTTCGTTTTCTGTAGAATTTAATATTGAAATCCAAGAGCCCACCTTGGCTAGAGGATATTCCAATTGCTTCATTCTGTAATCAATATTTAAAAAAAGTTATGCAATACATTAGTACTGCAATATAAGTGAATAAAGGAAAACTTAATGCTCTTAAGATATTCGAACACAGTATACAACGTAGAACAGTAACAAATTATAGATAATCTTACATCACAAAGTCAAAATTATCCACAAATAAATTTGTATAAGGTAAAATTTGTACATTATAGAAAGATATTTAAATAATACCTTAACATGTCCTCAAGTTCCTTTTCTACTCTATAAAGGAATAGGCAATTAAGATTAGAATATGAACCGCAGTAACAAAAGCTCATAATGATGAATTACTGCAACGTTACACAAATTCTAAATTCGTTAAATTACATATTCACATTACCTATGTTTAACTGCATTTGCAGCCGACTTTAAGAAATTTAACGCGTTTTCTAATAAATTTCAATTATAATTGAAATATAATCCTCTCAGTCATGCATAGATTTGTGTAAGCCAGTACTCTGGTTAAAGAATAAATGTGACTCTCACCAGGTGTTTGAACCATAGTATCAAGAAGGATTTGATGTGCAAACGATTTAAAACTAATATGTACAACAGAAATATATAAATGAATAATTATGGTAGGCATGAAGTAAGAATTATAGAAATTTAGCTTTATGTATTCATTGAATGATTCTAATCCAACCAACCCTGCAAGTTGCGACATATTCTGTCTGACTTTTAACAGGGACTTTAAGGTATCATCTTGCCGATAATTAAAGCTATTATAAGCTCTATAGGCGAACTCTCTTAACTGTAGTTAAAGTAGTTCCAATCAGCCAGTTACGAAATAATACTGTACTCGGACGCAATGGATACTAATAAGAAATGTATAAACTTACATCTTCTTGTGGGCTATCATGATAGGTATATGTAACTTCAACATAATTGGAAATACTTCTAAAACTGTTAGAACAAAAATAGAATAAATTCACAAAGCAAGTTAAGCAAGCTGGATAAGGTTTTACACAGATACAGTGCAATGATGAGATTGTAGCAATTCTGCATTAATAATACTTTCGCGTCAAATTTAGTTTTCTTTGCCACTAGTATACGTACAGTATATAGCATGTGCGTTAACATAACCGATACATTTATATATACCTGTTGATTAAATGTTTCGGACACCGATCTGCAGATACTAAAGTTGGTGCTACAGAAAATAATATTCAATTATACTATCAGCTGGAATGATTAAATTATTTACCGATAAAACAATAAATTTGAGAAGATAGATTATTCTCACCATGACACTGTTGAATAAACTGATCACATAATGAGACAATTTCCATATCTAATTTCACTTTTTTCTCTCTCTAGCAGGTACAAGACAATTAATACAAGATGTGATATAAGGACTACTTTGCCGTAATGGGCTATTATATTGGTAAACTTTACAACTTACTGTAGCATCGTCCAAGTGAACACCACTTTGTTCAAAATCATTTAATAATAATCTTGCTACAATCCTAAATTGATATAATGATATATTAAATGCTAACATTAGCGTAATCATTTTAGTGCCAATTCCCATAAGGAATTCTCTCAGCCAATGATTAACGATAAATCATAATCTTTATTAGGTTTGCTCAATGATTAATTTAGAATTGATTTTCTTCTATAAAAGCAGATCAATTTTTAAATCGCACTTTGTATCTTCTTTCATCGTATTAACAATGGTTTTATTATCGACAACTTCTTTTAAGACATTGTAAAGGCCCACATTGGTATTTAACTTTGACACTAGCGATAGCATGGTCATGCAAGTACTTTCAGCAGCACTAACAAATGCAGGTTGAGAGTGTGACAGCCTGATAAAATTTGCCTATATACGCGTAAAATATAACAAGTTCAATTAGTTACGTGTAACGTTGTTGAATATTTATGGAAAAAACTAGCGTCAGACACCAATACAAAAGTTCCATTAGTTAAGTGTAATCTTGTTGATTATTTACGCCAAAGAAATAGTCTCAGATACATATTTAACTTATGAGCTATGCAGTCAATCAATTTGAGGCATGTTTTAAAGTTTATTAAGCTGAGTGTATCCCTTGTAGAAGTGGGTAGTTTACTACCGAATGACTTACGAGGTCAGCAAGTAGGCATATTTCATTTGATAGCTGATCCAGAAGATCGACACTACGCCCTGATGGAGGTTCGGTGAGGATCATCTGAACGAACCTAAAGTGTAAAGTATTACCTAATTGAAGTAATCATAGGATAGTATATCCGTAGTAATACTAGCAATATGATACTATAATATCTTTTCCAGCTGGAAAAAATGTGTATTTATTACTTTAATTATTACATAATTAAATTAATCACAGGATAGTATATCCGTGGTAATACTAACTAGCAATATGATCCTATAATATCTTTTCCAGCTAGAAAAAATGTGTATTTATGACTTTAATTATTACATAATTGAATTAATCATAGGATAGTATATCCGTAGTAATACTAGCAATATGATGCTATATCTTTTCCAACTGGAAAAAATGTGTATTTATTACTTTAATTATTTTCGCTATAGAATAAATAATCATCTTTACTGTACGTTACCTCTCACATTCTTGCAACGAGTGCTTTTGCCATTTTGCAAAGTCCGACGGTCTTTGCAATTTATTAACTCCTAATAATCCCTAGTAACAGTACACAATGATATCAATTCTAATGGTTGAAATTGATTGAGGGTATGACATTATTTGTATACGTTTGCGATAATACGAGTTAAGCAACATTGATTCAATTGGTCCATGATTATGTTTTGCAATTTTGCAACAGTTGTAAATGGAATAAAAAAAAGAGCACAATTGCAGTTTGGATGAAGATTTTTTTATAATCTCTTTCCTTCATGTACTGTACAGTCTATTAGCACATTGTATACGTCCATTTAATTGCAGCGGATTGATGATATGCTTCTCTTGTGTATTGGTGACGGGAATAGTAAACAGACTATCTAATTTTATACATACGCATATACTGGTAGAAGCAATAAGAAACTATTTTCTCCTGCCTACGCGTCGATTGCTTCGGTATGGAAATGCGTCTACAACTAATTCAGCGTTAAAATACGTAGGTATGCAATTTTAGCGTAAGTCAGTTTATTGGTGGATGGCCAATCAGGTCATTTTGCTGAATTTAATAACGCAGTATTCATTCAATACTTTGCAACTGATTGGAAGCTAGATCAAACTTGGACAATTTGAGGTTCATATTTATTTGGTACCTGCATGAATTGAAGATAGCGTAGAGTACGGTAACATTTTCAGTCATTTTTAATCCTCATTGTAAGATAAAAATAAGTAGAGTATCGCATAGCATCGATCTCAGCTGATGATGACAGCTTGTGCCTCTACTGTGTACTGTATACTACAGTGTTACTGAGAGTCTCTGGATGTCATTACCGTCATCAACTGATCCATTCACGATCGTAAAACAGAGGCATAGAGTACAGTATAGTAGGTATCAGTACTGTCAAGCTCGTGTAAATTGTGCAATATGAAGGTTTAAAAGAGTCCATTGGAATGCAAGCTAGGATCATTTAGTCTGCAAGCATCTTGTAGAATGTATACTCAATACAGTAGTAGATAATCCATCCATCTCAAAGCGCTTTAAAGCGTTGCAACAACGGTACAACCTACCACAAGATCATTGGTTGTATATTGATGTGATTGATCTGGTCGATCAAAAGCCTCTGTAATCTTGGAGTATTTTCGATTCAATAATGGTGCAAAACGATGCAAGCTTGCAATCTTGTTATATGGAAGAAATCGATTTGCAATCATGGCCAGTCTGAGAATCTTTCTTGGATCGAAGAGCTAGACATAAGCCAGGAGGCTCAAGGAGATGAGTTAACGTGCAGAGCTCAGCCAGACACCACAACTACGTGTAGAGTGACCTGAGGTGCAGTTCACTCACAGTCTGTGCCAACCAGCTCATTTGAATGACAATGGGGGACAGAGTACAGTACAGTGCTTAAGACAAGACTCGTTGTACTATACGCTACACGAGCATCGAGCGGTCTTCTTCTAGTAGTCCGTATAGAGTATAGTACAGTACTGTGTTGTGATAGTACAGTCAGTACTGTACTATACTGTGCAGGCTACTGATTGCGTCACGTAATCACGATTCATCCATGGCTGGACATTTTGAAATTTTGAATACAAAATACTAAATCACCCTCATCAAATAGGTTTCAAGTTCCTTATGAAACATAACTAGACTATGTTAAACTTATTTATTTGAAAGATTGAATGCATCAACAGTTGTGAAATGGCTTTAGTATAGTCGCTGTCGTGTAGTAAACGCTTGGCGCATGCCGAGATTACTGTAAACGTACACAATCGCAATACGAAATAAAAGCGTAAGGTACGGCGTTAGCGATCTATGCAAGGGCGATCCACCTTCATAAGACATGAAAATCAGTCCAATTCGCTGAAGTAAAACCATAGCGGTTCTTGTCATAGCAATGGCTGTTTATTGTACAATACTGACTCATGAAGGACGGTATAGAGCCTCTTATGACAGTAGTATCTTGACCCAAATAGCTATTTCTGACTGTCAAAGTGTGTACACTCACTCAACACAGTACTGCATGTTGCAGTTACGTGATCATCAAGTTACCTTAATTTCACCATCATGTTTAGGTTAATGGATGACTACAAGTACATACAGTTACAATACTAGACTGATTTCTTACTGACTACATAGTGCATACTGGAGAAGTGAAAAGAGGTCATTATTGGATTGTATCTCCACTTCTTCCAAAGTCCTAACTCCTATCCTAACAAGGAGATTTTTGCCATTAGATTCAGCGTAAAAGCTTAGAAAGACATTATTAAAAAACGGTATGATAGGGGTCACGTGGGTCAGTACAGTACTGTACAGTACAGTACAGTACAGTACAGTATTGTTCTCGGTAGAAGTCCACATTCAGGCTGCAGTACTGTACTGTACAGTACTGTACAGTACTGTACACTGAGTGTACAGTACAGTAAAGTACAATACAATGTACTGTACTGCACAGTGCACAGCGCAGAGTCTCGGCCAACCAATCCACAGCTCGCATTCATCCCCACATGGTCACGTGACTAGGGGGACAATAGACTGAAGATCTTTCCCTTTAACGTTAACTTTGGTTACTCGGTTTATTGGCTAGACTAGCAGAAGGATTCTAGCGAAAATTGATTAATTAATTAACTACCTAGGTAGAAAAAGCAACAACAATGACTAGAGATAGTGTATTATCAAGTGGTCAGGATTCCAGCCGGTTTCTATCACAAATGTATAATCTACCTTTAAGCGATTATGGGCCCGACGAAGTCTTGGCCAACGATGAAACTCCTAGCTTATTAAATGATTTCAATATCAAGCTGCTATTAAAATTCTGTACAGTCATATCAGCTATCTCAGTCGCTCTGAATACCCCTGCCACATTTCAAAGCGCTGAAGTCATTCGCTATATTTGTCTTGCGTTGGACATCTTTTCTGGTCTGGTATTCCTAGCTGAAATGATCATTAAAGTACGGAGGGATGGTTTCTTCAAGGTAAGATCAATCAATCCATTTTCTTGCCATACTTTGAACGATTCCATTCAATACAAAACTGTTTTGATCATGAAAATTATCCTTATTTTCACGCGTATTATCTATATCAATCGTCGACAAATTCGATAATGTAATCGATTGATGAGAAAATAGTCTATCCTTTATCCATTTCAATGACATTTGTTTTCTACTCTGCCATACGTAATAAAATAATACAAGACTCAACGTTATGTATACAATATTGTGCACATGGACCTAATTCTATGTACTGTCCAAATAGCTTACTGTTAAAATAAGACTTCTTCATACTTTTACAAAGAAATATTCAAAAAAAAAGTCATTTTATTTCCCCTTTCTTTTCTATCCCATTAAAATCTTCTCTCCCTTTATATAATTTGAAACAACGTAAAGCAATAAGTGTAATCGACTGTTGGATAATCTTCCATTTGATGGTAGTCCATTAACTCAACGAGGATGCCCTTTCATAGCTTGAATCAGTAAGAATGATTGATGATCCATTATGTTTGTTGATACAATACAATACAAAAAAATGATCAGGAAATAGTCTGCACCTGTCACTTCAATTATTATGTTGCTAACAGTACAGTAGAGGGATGATATGAGTCAAAACTCATGAAGTGTCAATTTTATATTATCATGTTATTCTTCCATGATCAAAATTTAAATGATCTATGATAAGCAATTTTTTCTAGCCATTCTCACCCGAGATAATCAAAGATCATCATGAAAAAGTAATTTATTTTTAGTTTTATAGGATTGTTTCCTGTTCTCTTTTTTTTTATTTCACCTTTTTTTTTTATCTTATCAAGCTCCCCTGTTTTGATGAAGACTATCCATTAATTATTGTCCGCTGATAATAAATCTTCTTAGTTCAGTTCACCATTGCTCGTATCTTTTAATACGTAGATGCAATTACTTTATCATAGCAGACGAAAAGGTATCATGTAAGAATCGATCCTACACTATTACATATCACGATCATTGTAAGAAATACAACCCCGCAACATTCGCCTTTGATTGATACTGTACCCTTGTACATGTCTTACCACCCAGTATCATGTATTTGCCAATACAGTTACAGCCACTATCTACTATCAACCGATTGATTATTTGTCGTTAACTGCAGTTAATCAAAGACAATAGCCAAATTAGATAGAAGGGAATAAAATATGTAAGGCGTGTTGCTTAATAGGCATAGGTTATCATGGAACTCATGTAGTATGATACTGTCGAATCAATATCACTCTCAATAGCATCATTTAGATCTCATCATTCATTGAACTCATGGAGTATGATACTACCTAATCAATATCACTTTATATCTCATCATTTATGATAAAATCATGAAATTTCATCATGGATACAATTGAAAATGGCTTGATAAAGTAGCTGATATTCCGCTGTATTATTCGCACCAAAAAAAAATGAAAGTTCGATTAGATAGATTCAGTTATTATTACGACAAGCTATTATTGTTCTATTGTTGTCATCATCAATAGTCTATTGAGTTATTGATGACGATTGCTTTTGTTAATATTGACCGTTAGCTATTGTTTCTTGTTGTATTGAATCTTATTTCTATTATTTGAATACAATAGGGTGATTCGGCCTATTTTAAGAAGTTTTGGTGCATTTTCGATTTTATCATGTTACTATGTATCTGGCTGACGGTGATTGTAGAAGTAAGTAGAAGAACGTCCTACAGTTCGAATTATTCATTCCTGATACCAATTACTTATCAACATCTAATATCAAGCTCAACAATAATAAAATTTGCAAACGATCTCGATTGAATACCACATACATACAGTAGGAACGAACTTGTTCTATCGTAGGATAGTCAATATTCATCTAATATCAAGTTTAACAATAATATAGTTTGCTCACGCTCTCGACTGAATGCATATCCATAGGAAAGAATTTGTTCTATCGTAGAATACTATCAAGCTCAACAATAATGAAATTTGCCCACACACTCGCAATTGAATGCACACACATCCATAGGAAAGAACTTGTTCTATCCTGAAATAGTAAATATTCGTTTGATATCAAGTTCAATAATAATGAAATTTGCACACGTTCTCGACGGAGTGTACATACATCCATAGGAAAGAACTTGTTCTATCGTAGAACAGGAAATATTCGTTTGATATCAAGCTCAACAATGATGAAGTTGACTCATGTTCTGGGCTGAATGCGCATACTGTATATAGGAAAGAACTTGTTCGATGATAGTAATCAAGATCCTTTTCTTTCCATTCAATAAATGTAATATACCGTTTTGCAACTCACTGGAGAGTTTTTTAGCGCTCACTGTAAGGTATTATTGGAGTACTTCTATGTTGCGGATACTTATAATTGACTAATAAGTCTTACAGGATCGAGTAGTCTATAATATTTACTCAGCTTAATAATTTTATCTGCACTTTAGCCACGCAGAGATTATATTTGGTACATCCTCGTAGCCGTAAGTGACCAAAATCTTTGCTTCTAATAGCTTGTTGATTTGGAAATCAAACATTAAAACGCCTTGATAGTACTGACATACACCTAATTTCCTGTATATCACGAACATACGAATACGAATTGGCCAAGAATCACAACATTCTACCAATAATTACCTTTCACTTATATTCAAGGGATAATTGCAAATGCATTGATACTCCCCTACAGTAAAATTTTACATTTAGGCTTAAAAAAGTTTGCGCATACTTAATAATTTACTGACTGTTTCCTATGGACGGATTACAAAGTATCCCATTTATATAAAACCGCTAAGCTATCATTTATTTATTGATTAGATACATACAATTACAATTTAATGATTTAGTTAGGCTCTTATTCACCTGCAATGCCAAGCAATAATAGGCCTTTAGCGAGTAGTCTTTTTAATTAACGTATTTTAAGAGGATGGCAATATGAATTTCTGTTAATCTAGTTCTAGATTTATTACCGTATTATATCCAGTGTAGTACCATCAAATTATACAGACCAGATAATGTAGATACAGTTGACAGTCAGTGATTGTACTAGGGTTTTCCAGACTACCATCAGAAATAATACTGTATAGTAACTCCAATATCACATAGAACATTGCTTATTCGCCATGTTTTCTCCAAATCTTCAGTAAATCACAAAAGTTTATGACCTAACCATCACAAAGAAATGGTAGTACTCCCACAAGTAATTAAGCCATTGCTATTCATGGATGAAAGTTGCTTGTTACTTCTATTATTACTCTACTGTAGAGTGTTATTCGATTTTTAGAGCTAAAAAATTGAGAGAACAGCTGAGATGGCAAGATTAATTGCTGTAGTACATAATCATAGCTTCAACCTATCTAACTAGATATATTCTCCCTTGGTACCGTACTATAAGCAAGGATGTCAGTAAAATGCTACATAATTATCCAAAGCACAGTGCAAAGTCTTAAACTTTATTTGATTTTGGATTTCGTACAGCAAGTTCTATATGTTTATTACAATTTGAGAGCTCTTCATGAATTGATATGTGGTATAACTTTAAAACATAAAATAGTTTTGAGCCTCATATCGTTTATATTAAGAATATAACTATTTTAATTAACTACAGGTACTTGAGCTACCAGAAGTCGGTTTAATTGATGACTACGACTGGATTAACGTATTGTACGCTCCTCGGGCATTACTACCGATAAAAATAGTCCGCAGCTTTCTGAAATATAGCTTACCTAAAACAAACATGAATTCAATCTACAGGTAAAATAGCACTCATATCCAAATCTTGCCGAAAGTATCACCTAATGATATACTGTACACTAGAGTGAAATCTAAAGTGCAGAATCATTTTTAAAAAACATTTACTACTATAACACTATCCGATAAATTCCTACTTTGCTGTTTAGTGCATAGATTATATGATTTACTGCTCTATAACTACCTAGTAGAGTATTACCGTACTTACCACATGTTTTTAATTAGAAACGCGCAAATATGTACAAAAATACGTAGTTACAATTAATTACGAGAGTAAGAAAAGTTAAATTCTAGTAACTGTTTTCTACCTTATAGTAACAATTCAAACGTTCTCTCTCCAGTCTTTACTAATTTTACTATTGATTGTCTTACAATCAATTTATTCTTAAACAGATAGCCACGAACTAATAGTTGAATACTATTTTAAAATTTCTCGCCTAATATCACTGTTATAACCATTGTAATATCCATTGTAATATAAGCATAAAAATTTAAAAGATATTGTCGTGCATAACAATTCTAAATTTGCTTTTCAGGCATTCAGGACAGCAAATAGTGACTGTATCAGTCTTTTATTTATTTTTTATTTCCTTATACTCCTTCGTTGGTGTCCAATTATTTGGAGATTTACAGCAGCATTGCGTGGATAAGACAGCAGTTGAATTACGAGTGTAAGCAATAGTTCGATAACATACTTGCACCTTAAATAATTATAGGTACTCAATGCGATACTATACTATAAGTCAATTAAGCAATTAGCACTGACAAAACTTACCATACCGGATACATCGGTTTCTATACAGATGCTCTATTAATGAAATTTGTATTACATGATAGGATATGCATTATATTCTATGTGATAATACGCGTATATGTTAGCTACAGAACGATTAGCATGTCTTTCTCTTATTAGCCTCAGTACGGATTTTCTAATAATAAACGTTGCGTTGGATAGAATAATATTATTACATTTCCATGCGATAATAAGCGTCAGCTATAAAGCAATTAGCATATCTTTGCCTTATTAGCCTCTACACAGATCCTGCAATCCATGTCAATTATAGAACGATTAGCATGTCTTTTCTCTTAGAGCAATCACTAACCTATTTCTCAATATTTATTTCTCAGAAATGTTACTGAGCTACCGAAGTACTTAGCAATTCCAGATACTTTGTGTAGCAATTTTTCTGACAGTGGCTATCAATGTCCCAATGACATGGTATGTATTGATTTGCAATACTTTGATATTCAAAGGACAGAATTAGGATTTGTTGGATTTGATAACTTTTGTAAGTATAAGATTAATACTAGGAACTAATAACCCTATACTGATCAATATTTAATCCAAGTTAACAAATTATATATCAGAATCGTAATTACTTAAAATTTTATATTTATATGTTGTCCAGTGCTAGGTTTGCTAAGTGTATATCAGAGTTCCAGTTTAGAAGGTTGGGTATATACTATGTATAAGACGATGGATTCCTATGTGAGTTGGTATGCATACATTTACTTCCTAACAATGGTATTTTTTGTAGCGTGGCTTATCAAGGTGAATATAACTACCTCTTATCCATAAAATTGCTGCTACAGTTTAGTTTAAGTGCTTAATATCAGCTATTGTTTAAACAAACATTTACGTAATATCAATCAACATCCCAATCAGAATGTATTCATCGCTGTTATCACTGAAGCCTTCGCAGAGATGAGAAGTCAGCTACAAGAGATGTGGGGCAATATCGCCTTACCAGCTAATTTTTCTACTAAGGTCTGTAATAAATTATGAACTTGCCATTGCAGTGACTTTGTTATTAGATTTTACTGCTAATTGCCATTTTATAATTAAATAGACCTTACAAGAAACGAGTGGGAAATGGCACCTAGTTACATCAGAGATTAGTTACTATAGAAAAAACGGAGAGGGGATAACAAAAGTTCTGCATTTGAGAGCATTTCACGCAACTATCATTGTATGCATTATATTCGACGCGGCTATCTTAGCAAGTAAATTTGCTCACATGCCCGAGGATTATGCAAACTTTATTTGGTATTCGCAGGTTTGTAGTTAAATTACAGCAATCTATTACATATTATTAGAATATTAGAGATAGCTTACGAATTGTGTATGATGTTGTTATTGACCAATATAGATCGCATTTACGTTGCTTTTCAATATTGAAGCAATATTCAAGATGTACTGTTATGGAATTCGCTCTTATTTATTTCGTTTTGCACATATTTATGAGCTAATCTTGGCTGTTGGTAGTAGTGTGTACATTTTGATTGCTATCGCTATTGGCCAAGACAGCAATTTAGCGACAAAATTGACTGTATTTGCGGTAGGATTACCTTTTGCGATAATATTAATATACGAAATTATTGCTCATTTTTCACTTCACGTAATTCTTTTTGCACAAAAAATTCACTGGATTGTTCTCAAATATCAAATCTTTCATACTATAACTAGGTATTACGAATCCTCCGCATAGTCAGAATCCTTCCAATGCTGCAAGATTTCATGTTTAGAGTGAGACATCTAAGCATATTACAGCATTAATTATACTCTGTTCCTTAACACTATACTACTTGCTTTTATTAGATACTGTACTTAACTCATAATCTATGTGATAGATTCTAGGAAATGGCAAGAAGATTGGCCTTTTATTGGCTTTTACCATTTGCTTTTTGCTAATTGTTAGCTTATTAAGTCTACAACTTTTCTCAAGAGTAGAAAAATTAAAGCTGTTTGAGACGTATCCAGCGGTAAGAAAATATCTCAACATTTTATAAATGTACTTTATTGTTGCTATTGCTATTAAATAGCAGATACTTAATCAATGCAATAACTGTCTCCAGGCCGTAGGATCCACATTTCAAGTTTTACTGCAAGAAGGTTGGCCTGATGTCATGAATGATGCTCTTCTCGCAAATACAATCGATCTTTCACCTTTAGTGGCTATTTATTTTACAATGCTACATTTGTTTGCTTCCTCGGTTAGAAGTTACAATTTATGCGTCGATCAATATACTTTTTTTGTGGCAAATATTCTTTATTGCAGTTTCATTTTTAATTTTATACTTCTTTAGATCCTTTTTTCTATTTTTATTGCCGTTATCTTGGATAGTTTAGATTTAGATGAAGAAGTTAAGAAATATCGTCAGGTACACGTATATTTATTTGTGAACTTATTTCATTATTTCACAATATCGTATTTACGTTACAGTTTTCCTATGATGAATTATTCTATTGATACAGGGGAAAATGCACGAAGAGAGCGTTGTAACGGAAGAAAAGTTACCCTATAGAATTCGTGTCTACGAAAAATTTCGGTTGGTGAAATTTAATAACTCCAATCTCTAATTGTGTATGTAAGATCCTGCAGAGCTGTTAAATTATCTTTTATATTAGTGAGAAACCACGAATGGCTACTATTAAGAAATCGACAATAACTAGTAATTTTGAAATTCCTAAAATGCGGTAATATTTTCTTGCAAAGGCTTTCCTTTAAGAATATTTCATCTACACAATGATAAATTATAGTTATTATATTAAGTTGTAAGAGCATACGAGATAGATAATTTTTCTTCTATCTTACAGAGAAAGTTTCCTAAAGCAATATGTAAATGAATGTACCGACGATAATTCGGTCAACGATACAATGCCTGCAGAAGAAGAGGATAATACTGCTATTTTACATAGAAGGGCAACAGCACGAAAAGTACAATTAAGACGTACAATAACGGAAGACGTTACAGCCTGTAATCCTGCCGACGAACAATTTCAACGGTCTCCAAATATGTTGTCTCCCATACCACGATGTAACACAATTGATAGTCAGGTATTGAACGTTATTAAAATCAATAATAATACCTTGTCGCTATTCCCGTGATATTGCAAGTTATAATTAATATGAAATTGATCTATGCCAGTATCTTACGCGTTCAAGACGCAGCTCAGAAGTAGCCATGGCACGTAGAAGAGCTCGACTGACGAAACTTATTGAGTACGGAGTAATTTTTTAAGAATTTTATATGTATTGTACAACTTTTTTTTCTATCTTATTAAAACAGTTGGCCAGATTTATATTGTCATTTATTCACACAGATCAGATTTTAAGCAGTCTCTTAATTTGCATTGTAACAAAATAAGTGTATATACATCCTTCGATAATTCTATAAGTACTTCTCATACTCCACCATTGTACATTTATTACCCAGAATGACTCAAACTGGAAAACCGGTAATGACTACTCCAGAAGGAGTTTTGTCTCCTCGAATTAGAAGGCAGCATTCCGTAAAACACCCTTTTGCTCATAGACGCTCTATAAGGTATGATTTTTTTGATACGATGATTGCTACGTTATAGAACGGAAACAGGGTAGTCGATTCGATCATTTTTTATAAATAGGTTTACTTTCCATTATACAATTAGACTAGTCTTTATAAGCCGAAAGACATACCCTTTAAAGTTACTACTTATACGTATAGGGCTTCACTTATTTCGAAAGGAAATGTTATCAATAAGGCGGATTTAGATACTTTAAAACACATTGCAAGAAGAAATAAGGAAAAAGTAAATGCTTGGGTTTGATTAAAATGTTTATAAGAGACTTAAAGTGATTTTCTTTTAATAGCTCATTCGACTGAATATATGTCATATATAGTAACTTTTACTGTTGAGATACGATTAAGCAAGGATTCAACTAAGGGCCAGTTGTAGTCTTTGCGAATTATCATGTACTAGGAGTTTGTAATTAATGCAAGTTATCTTAGCGATAACAGTATTTAATCAATCTTCGACTTATTACTGTTACTTTAATAAATTAGTCCGATAATTTAGAAAACGAAGCTCCATCAGATTGGGTAGATGTTAACGCAATAATAGAAAAAAAACAGCAGGCGAAAATAAAGCGTCGAGCGATGGAAGAGAATTTACGAGAGAATCATCCATTCTTCGATACGTCATTATTTCTACTCTCACCCAATTCCCACCTAAGAAAACTATGCCAGCGAATTGCTCATGCTAAATATAATCCGTTAGTAATTATTTTATTTTTAATTATAGCTCTCTTGACTTTAAGCGTAGTATTGAAATCTAGCATAATTAATGATTAAAATAGACCTCGAATTAAGACATCTAACATCAAAACACAACTCTTGGAATTTGCTCAGTAAGAAATTACTGTTATAATGCGAATATATCACTTTGCTAGTGACTATTTCATAAATTAATACTTTTAATTAAATTCCTTTTCACCACCGAAATTTCTCCTATAGTAATATTTTGGCATCATTTACGTATCTAAATTGGTTTATTATCATTGTTAACATTTCCTCCTGCTTAATTATGGCATGGGAGACTCCTCATGGGCCTGATGTGGGCCTTAATTTTACACAGGTATTAATTTAGAGTTATTAATATCTCCTAGCTGATCATAATGTAAATTAATGCATATGTCAGTATATGTTGTAACGTACCTCAAGTTATTTTGCGATCTAACCATAATGCCATAAATATAAACTTCTAGGTGTAATAATCACGTTTAATTAATAATGTGTTATATATAGATTGCTGATATTATATTTATCGCCGTTACCAGTTTGGAACTTATCATTAAGGTTAGCTTATATCCAGGTTTTAGGATAATAGAAAACTGCAATTCTATTATATTTCAGAATCGTTCTTAATAAATTTACGGGTGTTATATTACAGATTATTGCCGATGGTCTTATCTTCACCCCAGCTGCGCTAATGAGAAATTTCAGTGGTTTCTTAGATATTTTTGTTTACTTTGTATGACACGCGTAGATTAAATATTACTTTATTGACTATCCCTTAAATAGCTTTTCTAAGTATGATCTGGCTTATGCTTCATTTTATGAATTTACAGGTAAGCGTCTTATCATATTTGTATCATGCTTTTAATTTATCGGTTAATTCAGGAGCAGAGGTACGTCACACTTAATAAGCAATTGATTTGGTAATTAATTCTGTAAAAGTAAAACTGACAGGAAAGCGGTAATGTTTCTAGTTTCTAGCTGTCTTGAGATGTTTAAGACCACTGCGTGTGATCACCTTGGTTCCTAAGATGAGTCAAGTTGTTAGTGAGTTGGTGAGAGGATTCAAGGAAATTCTTCTGGTATGATTCGCTTTCATATACCTAGCAACCTGGAAATACAGTAGTTTCAGATAAATAAGCCTGCATAAGATTAATAACAATAGCAATAACAGCAGAATTAATCTCTATTTAGGTTTCCTTAATGCTATTAATGCTACTGTTTACTTTTGCGAACTATGGTGTACAGGTGAGAACTACATTTCTAATTTAACTATAATAAGATTGTAATTGATTTTGTATTTCATTCTTGTACAATTTATTAATTTCAGATGTTTGCTGGAAAATTAGCAAGATGTAATAAAGGCTTTGGAATACCACAGGTTCGACTGCATTATAATTACTAAATTGCTTTCTATACGTTTTATCTGATTACACTAGCTTAAGCGTCTGTTGATGCTGAAGTAAGTAAATAACAACATTTTAACTTTTAGGAAAATTGTAGTGGAACATTTTCAATTCCTTTACAAGTTACTACTCAAGTTGTTGGTTTACGGGAAAGTAAAAGTACCACTCTCTTTGTTCCTGAAGTGTGGTAATAAAAATATGCGATACGAATGAATTCTACTTTGATTAGTAACAGGTTAAAACTTTTACATCTGCTACTTACTTATCTTTTATTATTAAATAATAGGAAGGTGAGCCCAGCGGGCTATAGCTTTGATAATATCGGCAAAGCTATGCTGACTCTTTTTGAAGTTATTACACTAGAAGGTTGGACAAGTATGCGAAGTATCCTGCAAAGTATGAAACAGGTATAGCTCCCATTAATACCGTAGCAGCATGTGTACTTACACTTGATATCAGCCTTTATTTGATGAACGCGTATACTAAATTTCAAAAATGAAATAATATTGTAAATATAAATTGCATGTTTACAATTAGTCCGGTATTCACTAGATTTAATCACATTAAAACTATTAAAGTGCAACTTCTGACTTATATTGATAGGATTTTGGAATTATCTATATCCACGTCTTTGTATTCGTTGGATTTATGATAGGATTAACCTTATTTGTTGGAGTAGTCATGACAAATTTTAATGAGAATAAGGTATTCGATTAGCAAGTATATCTTTAGCCGATAGTATCGTAGATAGCTAAATCATTATTCTATGAATGTTATTAACTTCAAGGGAACTGCTTTGCTAACTGTTGACCAAAGACGATGGCTAGATTTGAAAGGCCGCCTTAAAATCGCTCAGCCTCTTCACATTCCTCCAAGGCCTGGTTTGTAGTAATCTATAAGATAATATTTTTTTATTTCTATCTGCAGTTTTTGGGAGCTATTTCACAGAACTAATAAAAATTTCTTACGTTTCAGACTCAACCAATCGTGGCCAAATTTATGACATTATAGAATCTAAATACTATCGAATATTTAGCATAATCATTATTACGTCAAACTGTCTCATGCTATATGTTAAGGTAAATGATACACAAATACCTTGAGTGGATTGTGTTGGAATAAATGATACGGTCAATATAATCTAATACGATAATTTGCAAACTTTTTTTAATAGTGGTCGAAAGATAATGAATATTTACCTGATCCTAGTAATTTTATTCTCGCTGCTAATCTATTTATTGGTTGGTATTGGATTGAGGTAACGGCTCTTATTTTTTTAGGATATTAAATGTATACATAGCTTAAAAATTAACGCCATACATCATAAGTAGAATATAGTTTTTAATTTATATGTATATTGCAAGTAAATAATTTCATTCTTGCTATAATGACCGATTAACAGACACTGTACCTTCATTATTAATGGTATGTCTGCTGTCCATAAATCTACTTGAATTCTCTATATATGATTTACTATTGATTTATTTTTATACCGTAAATGCCACCTTTTAACCTATTTCTTAATTGCATATTTAACTTCTTTCTATTAGTTTTTTCTTAGAGTAATTGCATACTCCTTCGCTGGATACTTTGAGAGTTACAGAAATCGATACGATTTTGCATTGATATTGATAGGAACTGCATGGCTTGTACTATCCGTTATATTTACGGCTGAAAATGAGGTTATATATGTAAATTTACGGTAGAATGTTGTATCGTTAGAATCAATTATAAATATCCTGTTACGACGAATGCAAGTTTCTAAATTAGAGTCGTCTATTTTATAATTCTTTACAATTTAAATTTGTTAGCTTTGGCAATGATATTGTATGAACAGTATTATTTACTTTTAATTGGGCAACCTAAATTTCAGATACAATACCTGAATAATCTTGGTATTATGACAATCATTCTAAAATTCTTCACGGTCACATGGAAGCATGTACGTACATATTTTTGTGACGTTATATCGTGCATACTACTTTAAATCTGAAAGATTTTAAAATACTGATACCCTTTCGCCCGCAGGATATGTTGAAGATGCTTTTCATTACAGTTAGTGTTAGTGTTAGGAAGAGCTTCTTTGGACTTAGTACATTGATGATGGTTCTAATGTGTTATGCCTTGGCGGGTGTTGTTCTTTTCGGAAATGTAAAATGGGGGGAAGGAATTAACCGGTTAATATTCGTCAATAGCTGTTTATGACTTAATAGCTATTTAATAGTAATTAGCCTAACCCACTATTTCAGACATACTAATTTTGAGTCAGCCGGACAAGCCATGCTGGTACTAACAAGAATTATGACTGGTGAAGACTGGTACAAAATAATGAATAATTGTATGGTAAGGCTATCAAATGAGCTGAGTTTATTATCGTATTGTGTTTGAAAAAAACGCAACTTGTATCAAAACGCTGGATTTATTTTTTAAAATACAGATCACAACGCCCTATTGTACCACCACACTAGAAAATGGAAGAAGAATTTCTGATTGTGGCAATTATGCTGCTGCTATTATTTATTTTATTTCATTTTACGTAATTGTTTCATTTATGTTTGTGAATTTGTTTATTGGTAAGCAATGCCTAGTCGTCGACTTTAATATTGCTACGGAGTCATAGTATAAACGGGTATGATTGATCAATAGATTTCTAAAAAATTAATTATCAATCAATAGCTATTGTCGTGGAAAACTTCTCGCTATTTTACTCTGATGAAGAAGAATCATTGCTTAGTCAAAAGAATCTTTATAATTTTCAAACAACTTGGAATCTTATTGATAGAAATAGAAAGGTACATCCTTTTAATCATGAACATTTCTAATTACTTTCATTTAAAATGCTACCTTGTGATGGCTATTCGGATAAAAGTTTACATCAACTATTGTACGTATAGGGAACGATTCCGGTGCGTCATGTGAAGTTCTTATTAGCACTGCTAAAGGTAAAAATTGATAAATAGCTTGATCGTATTTGTTTCTTAACTTATCCATTTAAGCCAACTGAGCATCTAGCTAACTGCAACGATTACAGTGAGACTGAATAATTAATAATTACTATTTTTATTTAATTCAGTTTTATAGCAACTTAATATACTTTTGTTTCTAAATATTTAAATAATTCTGATTGAGCATATTGTAAATTATTGCTATTGTAACATTAAACGCCAGTTTTAAATCTTTTTAGGGCCGACTAGCGTTAGACTCATCAAGTGATCGCCTCCTCTTTAAATATATGTGCTGCGAACTAGAGAAACGTCATGACGGCAAAGATGTTTCCTTTAGAGATGTATTGAGGTACAATTAAGCCGGTGTAAATTAATTAAATAATTAATTAATAATTTAAAATTATCGTCCTGCCTGAAGAAAATGTACTGTAGATTAATTACTAACCAAAAGGAACTTCATATTTGAACTCTATAGTACGTTAACGTTTGGATTAATCATAAATAACTAAAACTCGATTAAGAATACATTATAGGCAGCATTGTATATCTAATTTCTTTTTATCATGCCTAGCATGCTAGCATATAGATCAGTAGATATTACTAAATGCCTTCAGCTGAAAGAATTAATCGAAAGAGAAGAACTGGAGTATGCTATCGAAGAGGATGTTAGTTTTCAAAATCGCTTAAATTGATCGAATAGTTAATTTATGATGCACAATTACCTTAAATACGAGTATCAATATGTGTGCATCTTCTATTAAAGTTTGACTTTGGAATTTTGTACTAAAATGATCCAGGTCGCCAAGCAAATTATTAAATCTTGGTTTGTTAACTGTATAATGAAGAAGCGAAAGGTAAAGCTTTGTGATTAGCTATCATTGTTGTTTATGAACATTACTTGTTACCGTTATGAGTTGTAACTAGTATTTAATGAATACGAGTATTATTAACGTTGTTACCAATAATCAAAAAATCTGCTTATTATTGTAGAATGAAGCTAGAGCTCGAACAGATACCGGTACCGATGAATTAAATAAATGGCTTGAAAACATTTTTACATATTTCTTAGTTTCAATCGGAAGAAAATTTGATATTCATTCTAATAGTTCCTATATCTTGAGATAGCTTTGATATATTCAATATCAAGCCTAACATTGAAGTCCCGGAATACTCTAATCAATGATGCATGCCACAAAGACTAAATTCCTCTATACTAGCTAGTAAACTTTCCCTAGATAACCTATTGCAACTATATGAAATTAGGGTAAAAAGTTCCTTTGGCGTTAAAAATAAAATAATAATGTGCCTGCGTTCCCATTAGAGCAGTCAAGTAAATATTATGGCAATATAAGTATCTTACACTTAGAAAGATTCTTTTAATTACTTATGAAACATAACTCTCTCTTACCAATATAATACTATATATAGTATGATTAATATAATAAGTAATATGAAAGATTTCATTTCACTGCTAATATTTATAACTGCAAGAAATTGAATAAATATCTGCTATTACGTATTACAAAGTATACTTCACTTTCCTTTGCTATTTTGCGTAATTCTTTCCGTTACTATAATAAAACTATTTTTTATTTTTATTTCTATTTTATTTACAGGATTACATATACCTCAATCAACGGAAACAGTTAGACTAAATCGTATTGACATTACAACAGAAGTTGCTGGTTTAAGTAGCTCAAGTGATGACAATGACAGTCTCAGTGGAAAGCAATCCCTTGAAAATACCGACGAAGACGAGAAAGAGAATCTCAACACAATCAGGCTGGAGAAAGTTTACTTTAGCCCTAGGGTAAACAGAATAAAGTTTGGTCGTCATCGTAATCTAATGCAGCGATCAAGCTCTGAGCAGGAAGCTGCATCATCTAGAAAATATCCATTAAATAAATCAGCAACGGACAGTATTTCAAGTTTTCGACGACGGCCTCTTAATAGACAGCGATCGTTAGAAATGTCTGCTAGCAAGGAATCAACGGATGAGAAGCTCAATATGAATGATAAATTTGATGTAAATAAGTGGTGGAATGATCAATTGCAGTATGATAGCGACACCTAATGACCGATGTCTATTTGACAATTTTAAAGATTTAAAATATTGACAACTGCACTTAATACGGAGCAAACTGTAATCCTCCATGATGGGTTATATTAACTATTTTTACCATACGAAATTAACGATATCACGAAAGACTATTTATTTATTGGTGAAATTGGATCAATAAGATTAATATTTTAGTTATATCACCTTCAAAGAATACATTAGCCACTTTAATGATTACTATAGGATTAGTAGTGATAATTGATGTAATCAATTTTGAATGGAAATGGACAGATTTTGATACAGTTAACAATTTTCCTATTTAATACCCGACCTGTACTATATACGAAGGGCGAAAATAACACTGAATAATGCAGCACCTTCAAAAATTTTACAACCCCTGTCAATTGTACTATTTTGATACATCTTTGCTGAACATGTTTAGTGATGCTTTATTGTAATATATTAAATTATGCTCGCAATTTCAGGATATCTATGCGTAATATGGCAGATCTGCAAGCTTTTGATGCATTAAAAATGCACGGCTTCGAAAGATTGCAAGCATAAGATGTAAACTTCTATAGTGCTCCGTTATTCGCAGAAAACGCAACTATATTTCGTTTAAAGTTTCTTTGAGCCATCTCAGTAGATCACTATCCTAACGTATAAAATACGTACGAGATACTACGTACTAGAAGTCTTTAAGAGTTTTGCGAATGACAGCATCTGAAAATACCTATCTATCTTAATGAAATGATGAAATCGTTTGTCATAAATAACATCATTTATCATGCAACTAATATTTATATAATTTTATTTACCGCCCTTATTAAAGATTGCTTTGATTAAGCCTAATGTGGGTTACGGTGTAGTTATGTATGTATATATATTGCTTCTGAAACAATATATAAATCCACGCCCTTCGTATATGTTTATACCTGCAGTAATATTAATTCAACGCCTTCCGTTGCTAATTTTGATGGTAAGGATGGAAGTTGAGCGACATTTGTATAATATAGTAAATGAATTCTTCATTTGCTTGGCAAGGAATCGTGTGACCTTAGGTTCAAAGTATTAATAATATAATTCAGGAGAATTAAGTTGCATAAATATCTTCCGATTAGTTATTACGAATTCTACTTTGTATATACTCGTAATTCATGATAAGCGTGTCTGTTCAACCAGCTAATTTCTATCTTCAAGAAATAGGATTCACAAATGCATAGACCACGACTTGTAAGAGTAATTATTAATTATTCATAGAGCTGTTCTAACCTTCTAGGTTGCATTCAAGTCCACAATTTAACCCAAAACGATACATCATAGGATCTAAAGTGATTCCAGGCTATGGTACAGAAGGAAAATAATTTATCATTCAAGAGAGAATCTTCAGCTCGATATGCAGTACAACAGTATTTAAATACTATCTCCGCGTTACATCTTTGCTTACTATAACGTAATTTTATTTTCTATAATATCACAATATCAGTTTACTAGACATTATTATACGGAATATAATAATGTTTCTATAAACCCTTTAATACATTCGATGTTACAGTAATAATTAAACGGTAGTAGTAATAACCACAATAACTTTACATATCAAATTGTGGTAAAGCTACCATTATCAATACGTGTACGAGCATGTATATCGGCATCTGATATTTTGGGAAAGCATAAAATTTATGTAATAATACAAATATGTCATCGAAGACAGAGGTTGACAGTTGTAGTAGAGATATAATCAGAGCAACAAATTGCAATATCAATTAACAGACAAGAGCAATAGTTACCCATATTATTCTAATTCAAATTGACTGTAACTTTTAAATTTAGTCCGAAATACCGTAAGCTGTACGTAATCCGCCGTACCGACACATACAAGATAAACAATTCATATTATAATATTACGGCCCACCGTGCGATAGCTATAGCTTCAATGCTAAATACTGTTAATTTATTATTTATTTTTTTCAATAATATATAATATAATCAGTGATGAGTAGGTAACTACGATGACGTTGTCGAGTCACAAAACAGTGAAGTAGGCCCAGTAGGTACTTTCTCTTTATTAGAAGGATCTTTCTTAGTATGATCTGACTTTCTCTTTTGGACACGAGCTGATAAATTTTTGACAATGTCTAATAATTTCTCTGATTGCATACCAGATTTCGCCGGAAAAGCCGATGATTTATATCCTTTGCTACTACAGGCATTGCTATTGCCTCGAGACCGACTATGATATCGTCCTTGCACTGAGCTTTTTGATGATAATGGGTCAGATGCCAATCTCGCTTTTTTGAATGATTTATTAGTGGTGCCCCCAAAACTGTCATAGCAACAATTGCTACTATCGCGCTTAGAATAAATACTTTGGATAACGGGCAAATGCGACCATATGAAAGCATCTTTCACGGGGTTACATTTTCGAATATCACCAAAACGATCTAAAGCCAAAACATAGTCATCTACAGAAATGCAAGGAAAGGTTTAAAAATGGCATGCAGCTAACGCCGTTACTGTAAGCAATTAGTTTACACAGTCAATTTTACACTAATAAGTGAGTTACAACACTACTTGCAGCACGATAAAAACAACCTTTTGATGCCTTGGTAAATTGATAGTATAAACTAGATTCCAAATCATTATACCAATAAGCTTCAATAAGGTAGAGCACATATTCATGAAATAGTGTATGAAGTAAATGATACGATCCTAGATAGGAAATTATAATTGTCAGCCTTCAAAATTGTTCCTACTATTTAATAAAATAAAGTACAATACTATATGTTGCGTGATTTGCTGTATCATTCAAGACCTTACCAAAACTTCCAGCACTACGAAGAGTAAAATCTCGAATGACTAAGGATGATATAAAAGACCAAGTCAAAATAAATTCTTCTGCAGCTTTCTTTATTACTTTTCGATCATTGGATTTCTATAATGTTAACCCAAAAATACGAGTATAAATAAGATGATTAAATTGTTGTAATTACTACATTTTACGACACGACAGAAGAACTTTCTCAATATCCTACACATTTTTACCGAGAAAACACAATCATTGACAATAGCGCTTAGCCAACTGATATATTCTTCGATTGCTGCACGCTTCGATAATAAATCTTTAAATATATGCAAGTCTACATAAAATGCCATTAATCGAATAATTAGTCTACGAAATAGTAATAATCTGGTTATTGAATTAGATATTGGCTGTTGCAACAGTAAAGCTTACTTTTTCCAATAGCTACAGCCATTATATCTGTCTTATCATGAGAATACATCCATATTGTCTCAAAAATAACTCTTTGTTCGTCAACTATTTCCCAATCCGCTATCATACTTTCTAACACTGAAGCAGTGCCAAGTTCGTTACGAGCCGCCTAAAATAAAAAATTTAGATCATATCGTACCTTACCGTACAGTTACTGTACCGGAACTAGTTAAAACAATAGCAGCGTTTCTATATCAACACGATGTTAGTGATACTACCAACCTGAGCCAAGTGAGCTAATGAAGTTAACCGATGTAGTGACTTGCTAAATGTATAAGCAACTAGTAGTAAAAGCCAATAAACAACGTAAGTATGTTGGGCTAAACTTGTATGCAGCCAAAAATTTAATTTACTATAGTTTAATGAATACAGGACTTTACGAACAGTCAATTTCTTCTAGACTATATATAGACAAGACAATTATGCTGACAATCTTGACATACCGTTTGTCTTGCAATCAATTAAATATTGGGGCGCATATCCACTTAAACCGGACACAATCCAATCCTCAAGTTGATGCGCAAAATTTCTTATGGCCCGCGTCAGACTAATTTATCGAAATAAGTTAGTACGATATTTTTATAATTATCAATTAATAACACCACCGTACGGTAGAATATTTAATTTAAGCCAGCATTTCATTATTTCTTAAACCTGACGGCAATCGCATCTAACGTTCCAGGAACTAAAATATGACCAATACTCTATATAACAGTAATCGCTCATCATTATTATTAAAGTTTTATCGTAGTAAAGTGATTACATAAAATGTTCTTACTTTATACAAAATCATATCACAAATACATATGAGATCACTTGCTGGTGGACAGTGTAAAACATCTGTCATTTGCGGAGGCAAATCGTGCCAAAAATGAGAAATAATCTCTTGAATCTGCAGTTTTATTGCAATAAAACTTACATCAGTAAAGACGGACTACTAAAAAAATTAATCTACAGTATATTTACAGCAAAACTTGACCTGATACTATAATACTTTTCTTGGTATCAATTACATTTATATTTTAATTTAAAAGCCGGTACGAAATATCTTACTTGTCTAAGATTGCCACACACCACGGTATCCAATAATTTATGGCAGTGCGCTCGATACAATATAAAGAAGGTTTCAATCTATAGCAAATAAGAAAGAAATTAAGATTTATAGCGACTATGAATAAATAGGATGATCTCGCTCTTACCTTATCTCGAATCTCCAAATCTGGTAAATTTAAATCACCAGCATTAGGGAATTCAGGAAGCATAGCATCATGACTACGTACTACATCATCTATGACAGATTTGGGCAAAACTAGTAGTCCTTCAGCCTAATAATAAATTGATAATATTAAATACCTAAATGGAACGCTTTTGTCAGTAAGGAAACTATTCGCTGCATAATATTCTATATAGATCAACTTACCGAAGGATCATCATTTAACTGGTCGTTGAATCTGATTGACATGTATGACGTATAGATAAAGTAAGTTTTACGTGACAACATGATATCATTGATATACGATAAAAGTCTTAAGTTAGATCGTTAATTTAAATATTAGACCTTGTATTGTGTTTAACACTAATTTTTCTAAAGTAGCTATGGAAATTTGATGTTGATTTCGGCCCAATTCCGTAGTAATGATATCTATGATAGCAATATAACTAGAAAATGAGTAAACTTAAATTTTGTAAGATCTTTCAGCGATATTTGACAATCCGTAAAATCTTTTGCCAAAAAATAATAAAGTTAAATTTTAAACTACCGAATAGTCCGTAAGTTCATAAAGAAAGGTGTGATTTCAATAACGGAAAAAAAATTTATAAACCTGACAACAATTTCAAATTATTTAACTATTGGTGCTAATAATGTCGTCCAGAGAAGCAAGAAATAGAATGAGATTGTAGGAGCAATATATCACAGCATACGAAACTTTACACCCTGGAAGTGTGCGAGCAGTACATAAACAATACACCTGGGCACATTTGGTTTTACTACAACGTAACATCAAATATTATTTTCTTAATAAGCACTATAGCAAGCAATGATTACGAACACATAAGTTTTAATTTGTAGTTTACCCATATTGCCGTATTAACTGATCCCCTGCCACATTTACCTAACCGTTAGATGATTATGTGCAAATAAATGAAATACAGTACGAAACTACTACCCTTGTCGAGTTCATGCAAGCAATGGCACAATTAATACATTAATAGCACAATGCTATTATAAATCCAATATAAAAGTATTATAATCGTATTAATTCATTACAAAGCTTCAATATTGTATTAAAATTATCTAACTCACAATTCTGTATCCATTATCTAATTAAAATTAATAAGCATTAAAGTGATACTTGATGAGTAAAATTACAGATATGCTAACACCTCTATCATACCTTCTGTTTAACAGATTATCATTGTTACCGGTATCACAATAAGTCCATAAATATTCTTAAAAAGAATACAGTTACTTAATTTTATAATCAATTACGTGAGCCTATTCCTTACTTTGATTGCCCACGTTGCCCCAATCTTCTATTTTTGACCTGTGGATATATCCGACGTATGATCTAAAGTGCGAGATATGGTAATTTTAATGTAAATAGAAATAAAAATGAGTATAACTACTCATCAGCATATACTAAAATTATGCCATTTCTGGCAGTCCATATCATTTCTAATGAATTTCTGAAGAATTAAATATTGAAATATTCACAATTTCATCGCTGAATAAGAATTTCGCACTTTGCACTACACGCTTAAAATTTTTGCATTTTAACGAAAATTGAGCAGATGCATATCACTAAAATCAATCAACTTTTCATATTTCTATCAGTAAGTTGTGATCCCGATAATACAGTATCGTTAAGTTTCGGTGCAAATTGATTCAAATGTATCAGTCCAAAAAGGTAACAAACGGTAAGATATAATTGATATCAGAAATAAATTATGATCTAATATTAAGATCACAGCTAAATTAATTTTAGAAGATTTTCAGATGATTGTTACACGTGTTTAAATAGCAAGAAAGAAGGTATTTGTACGCCATATGTGCTCATTTCAAGAATTAGTACACGAAGCATGTCTATCTATTGTAGTAATTCTAAATACGGTGCAATGTAAGCAAATAGTCAACTATTCTGATTAAAGGTGAGAACTAATCGATCATTAGTGATATACCATTCTGCTAAAAATTGACCTATCCATAGTGACTTAAATTAAAAACCGACTTTATAACTACAATTAATTTTTGCAGAATAAGATACAACGAAGCTAAAATAGAAGATCTCCGATTATTTTATGAACACAACTTTTCAAACGGGTGAATGATCAGTGATTGTAGTAATTGATCTGCTACTTACTTTTCCAAAACTTGCAGCATTAGCAGAAGTTAGGTCATTCTTTTGACAAAAATCCAAGTAATGATTGTAGATTGCACTACGCGCCAAGCTTACGCCATCTGCTACTTCGTAATTTTCCATTAGCCTAATTATTGAATTATATACCAGTAACTTGTTAGTCGTCATTATGAGACAGAATGAGCATCAAAAAATCCTAGCAGGTGATTCAGTATAGCAATTCAACGCCTTCCATCACACAATCCAGTATACAGCTAATTTATGAGATGACCACAGTGTTTCTAATACTGATTACGTCATGTAACTAGCAAAGCATGTCAAAAATTGTCACTTTCTCCATTGCTGAGTGCACGGCACTTTATACCAATATGATAGAGTTATATTTTCATAGGATACTATGCGTACGACGAATCTACTTCGAGTGAATACGTAATTATCTCGAATAATTGCAGGCTTCGCTACTTACCACTTAGCTGTTACAGGGCATAATAGTTTATTTGACATTGGAGACTGATCTGCATCACCGGTTGGCGAATCTAAATACACAATTACGTATCAAATAAAATTGTTCAAAAACGGAAGTTTTAATTTAATGTTACTATGTAGTCCAACGAATTTGGTGATTCATTAAGCATTAGCGAATCATAATCTATTATTACATGCCACGGATACGATAATAAATACTAGAAAAAAATTGAATTTTTTAACCATTATTAAAATTACAAAGTATCTAAGCCAGTAATTTACGGGATATAAGCGGATAACAAATCAGCAATCACCCGATTATATGCGATTGTATATCAATTATATGACAGTAATTGGAACGGAGATTTACTCTTCTTATATAATCTTAAAAACTATAATCATCTATGCTGATGATGCTGCAATAAATCTATTCCTTTAATGCCATTAGTATGATATTAGTTATTGAGAAATGGCAATTATTTCTCTATCTAAAGCTATAGAAGGCTAAAGCATAATTTATATGTAATTATTAGGTAGACCTTTTCTCTCATTCTTGTAGCAATCTACTATACATTGTGCAATATGTCCAATCTAGCTACTCTGCTGATAAATTTTCACATACTAGGTAGGATTGGATATTTGGAGCGTTATATCTGTGCTTGATTGTCAGTAGTATAATGCCTACTGCTAAGAAATTAAATTATTATGTTACTTTATAACCTGTGCCATAAGACTACTTGAAGGGCAAATTGTCTCTTTCCGTATTAGCTTATTTATAAAAATGAACTAACTGAATTTTTACTTGTGCCAATTTGGCACGAGGCCGCGATAAGTTGGCTCATGGCAGCCACTTACTCATCTATAATATCAGGTATTTAGAAAGTAAACTTTCTTTGTACTTATCCTAATTTAAAATTATTTAAAGCATAGCACTACTGACATGAGATTTTACTTCCTGTGGTATCTACTCGTGTATCTAAATTAGCTAGCTAACCGATTAAATTACATATTATACATCAGGCTTAGGTTTACATATCTGGAGTGAGGTATCAGTGAGCTCTTTGGTCATCTATGGCCTGGGCGCTAATAAGAATCCTGTCCTCTTGAAGTAATCTGAGTTATGTTAGCTCGTCTGATGATTAAACATCTAAATCTTTCATAAACGGCAGAGATCAAACTGCATCTGCATGTTATTAATATAATGTCAACGATTCAGTTATTGAGTAATTATACATTGTTTCAATTATAGCTATCTAAGACCTACGATTGCTGCTAACAGATCTTTTCCTCTTGCAGTAATTATGGAAAAGCTAATCTACTGATTCAATTTGTGCATATATATCTTTTACAAAAAGAGTAATGTATGCATGCTTCTCTGCTTGTTAACAGTAGAAAAATTGTTCATTCTTGTCCTATTATATTCCAGTTAGGTTGTAGAGGAAACCTTGCATAAGCTGTAATCCATCAGTTAAGCAAGCAATTGCACTGATGCGAATGGTATTACAGCTTAACTCTCACATTCACGAGCGCTGAATAATTATTTGTATACCAGTACTGTGATATGAAGTGTGAAGGAATTTCACTTTCCAGTCTGAAAACAATTTAAAACTGATGATGTCACAGCTTTTACACGAACATTTTTAATAATAAATGTTGAAAGTTAATCTATCGATTTCAGTAGTTCTCCACTCTACCTATCCCAAGCAGAATAGTATACGTTTGCTATTAGCAAAAGCCGAAGATTTGATCCCGTTAAGCATATTATCCGTTGACAGGACATCGATATTAACGTAGTAAGCAACTAGTCAATGGTATGTTTTTTTTCAACCCCTTATTCATGGACTGAAATAAGCTGCTATCGCAAGTGGACATGACCAGCGTTCTATCCTACAACCGATTATCTGCTTCTACAGCCTATACTTTATATCGATGTATACGTATATCTCTAAAGTATCTGCTTGAATGAATGATAATCTTGCTATGACTATAGATCTCATTTTATCAACTCGGATAAATAGTTTAATCGTTATCATCTACCAATGGTATATAAATCAAAATGGCCTACCGACCATACTTGCATTCAATGTATAAAAACACATACCAATTGCAAGCGATTAAATTGACTATTAAATTACCTTCTTCGCTCCTTTGCTTGAGAATAGAATAGGCTGAACTAGAGCGATATTCTTTATGGCCATCAGGAATTAAATTTAAGATTGGCCAAGTAACCACGGGTGTCGCTGGCATCGCATGATGGCTACTCTTACTGATTACTACAGCAGGCAAATAACAGTTACCATGGCATCTTGATGAAAGTATTTTCAACCATACTACAACGTGTCTTAAGTACTATCCTTACCAGTCGTTTCCTTCATCGCCTCCTTATTGCTATCCCATGTCGTCGTATCCTGGCTGGAAACAATCTCTCTACTGTGACTAGGAGTCAAATTTTTGTCGAATTCAGCTGATTGAGATACAGGCATTTCTTGAACATCCGACATAGCTGATCTGGTTTGCAATATCGACAGTCAATCACCTTCAAAATAAATGTCAGCTTTTAAGCGCCATACCAATGATAACAACAACCCCATTTAATACACCTATACTCGACAAGCTTAATCCTATCTTATACCACAACTACAACAACAATAATGATGGTAGATTTCTTCTAAACTGTGATATGGCGTAGACGATGAAAAATAAATGAGTCCAAAGTAACAAAAAAGGCCAAAACAAAACATCAACTATGCGCCCAATCGACAACAAGTGGATCAAAAACATTCGGACAATACTCTGCGCTTGCAAGCGGAATATACCATCAATATCAAGATAAAGCAAGAAAGAAAGTGCAATAACCAATATAATAACAAGAATTAACATGAATTATGTCATAGCTACTCTAGGATTGAATAAGGAAATGGAAAACCTTGAGATCGCGCCTACAATCCAACTTTCCAAGAGCAATACCAGGCAGCAAATGGCGGACAACTTTTCTAGTCATCAATAATTTGCGTAGAAGGGGCGGAAAAAATCCTCTCGGCGATACTGAACGGTAGTGGATGATGGGCAGTTTACGCACTTGTCGTCCTTGAAAATCTATTGGATATTTTCTCACCTTTTCCTAGTCTACTATCTATGACGCTGAGCCATGTATGAGATAGTACCCTTATGGTATGGCCGGGCTATTTTTGAAATACCGGGAAACGATATGCATAATTAATGAGGCCATTCGACCCCCTACGGTCGTCTTATGCAATAGTATAGAATATCTACTCCAACCTAAAGCGCTATACTATATTTACTATCAGATTTCATAAATGGCCGCTTGCTTATCCTAACAAAACATTTAGCATTTAGCGGCATTTAGCGGCAATTTAGCCGCAATCCTATATTATATATATCAGCTTTCCTCGATTAAAACTTACTTAGTGGCTAAAAGTTGGATGGGAGCTGCAGTCAGTTTAGTAATCACGTTGTATTACTCTCGGATAGTGCAATCAGAGAATTGCAACTGTAGAGTTATTGCTCAGCAATAACCGATATCGAGATAGTATTAATAATATTAATATTGATAGAAGTAAGGATAGAAATGCGTGAGGTAATATCCAGGTTTGCATCATTTTTCAACAATAACGACTAGGTGTTGACCTATCATTTGCAACCATAACATGTTAATAATACTGTATAACTGAAAATAATTTTTGTTACTGACAGCTATCGCATATAAAGCTGAAAATAAATTATACCTATAGTTTGATGAGTATAGACGCAATTATATATCGTACGTGCATATGTCTATGCGGGTAATGTTACTGTAGGTTAGTTCGATATTCTACGTCAAACGGATCAAATGTTGATTTAACGCATAACTAATCGATAGATACTTTCCAAAAATTAGTAAATGCATCTGTAATGAGTATAAACTCATTTATGGCAAATATACTTTAAGTTGCATCGACACATTGCACCACCATGGCTCTGCTTGATTATAATACGTACGAGTATAATTGTAATCATAACATACTAATGCATTATCAGTGTTTTTAATCAAGCCCTATATTAGCTAGAGACTACAAATAATTAATTTATGCTACTTTCGGTAAGCTTAGCATACCATACCGTGTATCCGTACGGCGTATACTCCAACAAGAGGATAATAAATGAATAAAGAATAGACTTTTAATTGGCAGAAAATGAACGTTCTACATACGAGTATATATCTTCGCGGCCTTATTTCATCAACGATTTGAATAAGCAAAACCCCACGTAGATTTCCTACGAATGATAGAGTAGCATACAAAAATAGCTGCTTATCGTAATAAATAGATGGAAAGCCCTTATCCACTATTCACACACATGATACAAGCATCTTACAGCCCGTACGCTCGCTTGCATGAAGTGAGCTGACATAGTGAATTTGTAACTGTAGGAGGAGACAGGAATCACTGCGACATTATGCCAAAGCATTTCGGTATATGAAGAAGAACTTGATTTTACTCCCTCCCTCTTATTACACGATATGCTTATATATACGTCAAATGTATTCCGTTTCAAAGTCTAACAAGATCACTGATATGGAGGCAAGATTGTTGCAAAATTAATATGGATGCTTGCATTAGAACGATGTATTCAGAATTGAGAAAATACTTTATTACACCAACGATCAAACATTAAGGAACTGTATTCAATCATGCAAATAGGAATAAAATTAAGAAACAGTAAAACTACAATTTTAAGTACCATAAACTTATATCCGGCCAAACAGGAAAGATAGCTGCTACTGACCGTAATAATATACTGTTGCTTGAGCTGTATAGAGCATCGAGTAGTTACGGGGATTATACGTTACTCCAAGCTAATCTTCAACCTACAGTATATCTACAAGCATCTCATAAGCAAGTGCTGATATGACGAAAGAGTATTTATTATGATGCCTGCAATATACATATATATATATATATATACTGTATATATACCTTATAACTGGTGCAAACTAACTAACTGCAAACACCCATACCTATATTACATACAAAGTGAAAAAAAACAATACTAATACACAGCAACTTTCTGAACTGAAATAATAATGTCACCATAATATTATTCTGGGTAATTAGAAATTACATATGACATATACATCGATAAAAATGAATAATAATATAATTAATATCTAACATATCATGCATGTTTAATGCTAAAAACTGTCCTATGAGTGAGTGACTATAGATCAGAATTACTCATCCACATAATCTCATGGTAGAACACTAATCCGGAAGAAAATTAAAAGCAAACTCTAACGACTAATAAATTCACTGCTCTATTCAACATATCAGTGTAAGTATAAAAGGTTATCTAATAATATAATATACATAAGTTAAACCTTACGATTATGCGCTAGTGAATATTCAGTTTTGTTTGATATGAGAACTGTCAAAACTTCCATTCGTTAATGACATACACGTAGCAATATACTGGCATATTTCATTCATCGAAAATGATATATATACTAAAAAATATCCAACGTATACATAGCGATACAATTCTACGAGTTTCAACTCGTATACCAATATTCAATGGTATATTTATGTGATATATCTAATAGACCCTATTGACGTAAATTCTCAATTCCACGGCGGTCCAATCGACAAAGTCTCCAATCCGATAATATTCCTGCTCCGATACTCTCGTAAAAATCAATAGCTTTTTGATTCCAATCCAATACGACCCAATGAATTCGACAACAATCGGTGTCTTTTGCTACCTACAAGGAAGAGAGAAGCGTGCTGAGAATACAGCAAGACATAACAATAATGCAAAGATTCTATCAAAGATAAGATAAATATAAAAAATGAAAATGTAAATGTTGTCATGCTTTACGAACCTGTGATAACTTTTTCAGTATACTCTTCCCTATCCCATGGCCTAAAAATATTAAATGGATCAATTAACAGCATTGTAATATGTTTTTACTTATTGATTTATCTATATATATATGCAGTCATATAAAACATCTAGCACTATTTGCAGCCAGCACTGCCACGTTTAATCATCAAGTATCATCATTGTATTATCATATCTTACTGCAAAGTTATTCTAATGTAGTAAACAACTTTGAAGAATACGCGTTACCAATCAATAGCTTCGCGAAGTAAAATAATCGAAATTATATGTCGTATTAATCGTTGACGTACATACATTCCCATTAAGATAGTACATTTACAGACATTTAGTTCGATGTACAAAAATTACATACCACGATATGCTTCTTCCACAAAAAGATCTTCTAGATACAGCATTTTACCCTGCCAGGTAGAATAGGCAAAAAAATATAACGCAAAACCAATAATTTTGTGAGAGTCGACAGCTTCGACTACAAAACATTTAAAATATCTTTCGCCATCTCCATATCCGTCCTTGAGTAAAGCTACATGACATACAAAGCCGATTTAGGTAAATTCACATTAGTTCAGCTATCAAAAATATGATGATAGTTGATAAATATACAGAATGTGATTACCGTCCTATCCATCTATATTTTTACATTCTAGTTAAATTATTGAACAAATGTAATATCATGAACCAACGTCTATACATGTCCTAAATTAGATTATTATATTGCTAACAATGCTACACCAGAGGTAGGCTTCTATACATACGAACTACTAACGGACTCAGATCAACTAGGAGTTTCATCCAAGATTGTGAGCATAATCGAAGTACTGCAAGCGTATGCTACCCAAGCTAACATTAACACTAGAAGAATCTTTGTGATCAATACTGTATGCTATAGCATTCTGATAGGAGAATTCAACGTTTATTTGCTCCACTTTTATTACAGTTACAGTTACGAGTAGTATTACGTAAGCGTACTTTCTTCTGTCACTTCAACGGCATTTGGTTCCTTTTCATACTCTGCAAGTAACTAAATTTAAAAATAAGGGTCAACATTAATCAACAATATTTAGACAAGATCGTTTTATTGCATGGATACGTATTTTTTGATATATTCAAAAACAATGCATTACGCCTCAACTTAATTCAGATTGCAGCTGAATGATCCATATTTACTTTTACCCTACAGTTTATAATGACTTTCATTTCAAAGTACAAGCACTGTAATGCATCATTTGAAGTAATAAAGCCTCATTTGATGTTGCACGGCTGTCCTATTTGCTGACATTTAGACTACCGATACGATTTTAAATTACGATGCAGCAACTATTTTGATAGAACTCCTTCTAGTCCATGTTGCAAAGACTACTGCTGAGTGCTTGCTGACTTTTATGACACAAGCTCGTTTTAAGTATTTGTTGTAAAGTTAAGTACTGTAAACGAAATTTGTATTGTATGATATAGAATGTCAAAATTTGCCGTTTTGTAAACACTTCACAAAGTGATTCAGATTCATCGAAGTTAAGGTCGGCCTTGTCAGTTGAATTCTAGAAGACAACGTTGGAGTACAAGCAAAATTCTACACATCCAGTAAACAAATTTGTAACAGTATCGGCCAATGACAAAATCGAAAACCAACATTTCATATCAGTCTATTTGTCCATGTTAGCCATCATCAACCAGTAAAGTGCTGTACATTACATAATGTAGGTGATAATACTGTATACCGATCATTTCAGCTTGCAACGTTTGCCATAGCCGATCTGCATGGCTGGAGTCCTTGGGCTCATCAGCATGATCGAAAGAGTTGCATGTTACAGTATTGCCATAACTCGCATTTTCCATTGACTATAATATTGACTTACTTTAATCAGTCTTAAAATGTCCCCAACATCGTCCGAGGTTGCAGAACGAATGATATAATTGAATGATGAAGATTGCGACATGCTTGAGGAAACGATGGCGTAGCACGCAGTCTTGAGCGATTTGCAGTTTTGATGTTTGCAGAGTTGCAGAACGAATTGATGATGGGAAGCAATGTTGTCCACTGACTATTCCACTATATCCATAAAGAGTTAATAGAAAAAGCTGTTTTTCTCTGACCTCTATGGTACAGTATACAGTAGGACCGTATTACCAGGTTGCACAGCTTACTGATTGGTTGTTTCCGGCCGGTATCAATACGTACGGTACAGTACAGTACTGTACCGTACTGTACTGTACACTGTACAGAACAGTAGAAACACAGTGCAGAAGTACTGTACACTGTGCACAAAATAATGTGTAAAATAAATGTCGTATAGAGCATGAAAAGCCTGTATGCTACATTGGATATCACTGCCTTAACTTACGACATCTATTTTACACAGGGGCCTGCACTGTCAGACATGTAAACAACTAAAACAGGTAGTGGCTGAAGCCTGACATTCATTCGCCTTTCAAGTCATCCAACACCAACCTTTTGGCGCCAAATTTATTTTTCTTCCCTCCTCACTACCGACGACATCACCAGGATGATGGTGACCTCTGAAAAACAAAATGAGACCGTAGACGATTCCAATAATACAGGTAATAACATAAAATAAGAAGGAGAAAAGGATGCTAAAATAATTCTCCCAATAAGATCATTCACTGTCATTTATTTAAACCATTTGGACGGTATAGCAAGTAGGCGGTCATTGAGAGCCAAAACCAAATCCAAAGCCGATCGCGCAATAGAAAGCTTGAGGTAAGCTAGTATTGTGATTAGCATTTTATTCTTATCATGGCGCAGAATTCTATCATTTTGCAATCAGTTAAACTTTTTGCATGGCAGATGAATTGATATTGCCACACAGAGTCGAATAGAAACTCTGTTGTCAACGTGATTCATTGAAATTTTTGCCATCTTACGATCATGTTGAGCAGCTGCATACTCCAGACCTGAGAGTCACTCTTGGGTCTCTAGCGTAGTCAAGCGGACTCGTCCAATTGCCATGGCAATATTCGGTTCACACTGGCGATAAACTGCCACACTGGCTGGCATCCTATTGCCAGTCAAATATCAAAGGAGCTCTGCAACGATTAAATTCAACCTAGCTTGTATCATGACTACAATTTTATTTTGATATTTGCATATAATTTATGTCCCGCAACCAGTTAAGCTTCTTGGATCATACATTGAATCAACATTGCCATGCAGACCTAAATGGAAGCTTTGTAGCCAGCGTTATGTAGTAGATTTTTGCAATCTTACCATGATGCAAAGCAGCTACAAAGGTGCACTTGTCAAATGGTTACGTTCTGTGCCTACTGGACGTAGAATTGGCATTCGATGTCATTATGTTATCAATCAAATGTCCAATAAATTCCACTGACAATCTAATTTAAGCTAGCCTTGCATTTTATCCTTACCCTTGTTCATGATTTCCATTATCCTGCGATCAGAACTTCTCGGATAACAACTGAATAGAAGCTCTGCTATCAGCTTATACATTAAGCCTTTCAACCTGACGTTGATGTTGAGCAGCTGTGTATAGCACTATGGACTACTAAATATGCCCTCATATTGAGGGGCATAAGTATTTAGTGCTCCATGATTGTACGTATGCGTGTTCGTCGAATCGCTGTAACGATGTTCCCACCTAGCACAACTTTAACATGCTCTCGATAACATCATGTTGCCAACAAATCGCTATCTAATGAACTCTATTGACGAGCTAATTTAAGAAAATTGATGTTTTACATTAATGTATATTTACTTTCAATAAAAGTTGTTGATTGAACCTACAACAGCTATTGATATTACACATGTTCTATTATAATTTAGGAAAGCCAAAGAAGATGGTGGACGTTATAAATACCAAGTAAGTTTATAATATCCTTATAATCCAATACGATAACAACAAATCAACATTGATATTAGAAATACCTCATGTACATCAAGTAAATGTTTAGTCTAAAGATCAAAAGAGCATCATTGATATCCAGTACCTCTATACACCACTCCAACATTACATACTCTCACCATATAGTTGGCCGATCGACTTGTAAAACGGAGCATGATTAGTATTTGGCAAGTACTGTAGAATGTTGAATAAAATCTTATCAATGGCTTGAATCCAACAGTGAACTTATTGGTAAATGAACAAAATCGCATTATACGAGCCAAATTACAATGATAGTACAGCAATGTATGCCGATATACTATATAAAATAAGAATAGATCAGCATGTAAAAGACTTGATGCCTTTAAATATACCCTCAATAGCTTATATTCGACTTGAATACTCTACCTGCATTTCTCATCACCCTTATGTATAGGTACAAAATTCGGTTAAATTATAGCCTAGCACTCACCTAACAGTTACATAAAGTAAAATTAATTTCAAGTGAATTCAAGTGAATTGACCGAAGTCATCATGGTTTATTATATTACCGGCGTAATTACAGCAATGGGAATGCTTTCATTATTAGTAGGGTCTAGTTGCGTTAAAAATGTCAAAGTTAACTATTTTTATTATCGTAGGTTAATGTACCATCCAATAGTGTTAAATTAACAGATTTGATGTCAGCTAGTACAGTGTGACGTTATCTACCAACTGTGTAAATGAACATTTTGTATACCAATTACTCCGATATCCAGGATAGAAGTAGCTTAATTTACTAAATTTTAAAGGTATGGTTGTTAATGCTTATTGTAAATTTTAATGCGATCGTAGTTGGAGAAACATTCAAACATCTATGAAGAAGTTGATGAAGTAGAATACTCACGAATTGTAACTTCAAGACAAGAAGATGAATGGATTGTTGATGATGGTAAAAAAGCTAATGCTGGAAAGCGTAAAAATTAAATTTCTATTGTAAAGCTCATGTCATAGGAGAAAGAAAATCAGATAGTATTTTTCATTAACCATTTACGCAGACTACTGTACATTATATGTAGAAGATACACTATGATGTCTTGTTTTTCTCTTTTTCATGCTACAATCAATATCACAACGTCATAATTGCTGTCCAGATTTAGTGATCAGTGATACCCGGAGCATGTGTACAAACCTATGCGAACTAATCTATCATTTTTAATAGATATATTTTGTTCGATTATTGTATTAACAAATGGGATTCCGCCATGACTCTATAATAAGCTTTACTTGATTTGTACTTGACAGCGCAATTATAACTTTAAACAGTATATTAACAGGCATTCTATTATTATTTAATTAGAGTCTCGGTTATAATGTTACTGCAGGCGTGAGCATTTACATGAGATAATGTTACATCTTCTTTACAGCTTTTACTATCGTAGTATACTGTCATTTCGTTTTGCTACTTTACTGATTTATGTGTATATGTCATTGCAATGCAGATGGCACTGGCTATGCTGACCATGGAAGAGAAGTTTTCGACGATGACTTTGATCAAGAAGATACCGAAATGGATTCAGCTAATAAATATAGCGGAGGTAGCATATTTGAGCGATATCTATTTACTCCGTGCACCGATTCATTGTTGCATAATTAGGTTGAGCCTACATGAGTGTTGTCATCATAAACATTAATGTAATAGTTATAATAACCTGTGATATTAATATGATATTGATAATAAAAATCATCCAATCTTTTTATTATAATATGATTTGTGTTACACCATGTACATGCTTATTCGTGATTTAGTCATAATCTAATTTTTTGATTTTAGGCAATAAGCAGAAACGTGACAATTTTGGCCATCCATCTGCAAAAAAGCAAAAAAAATTGGTAAAATATTTACTCCGTTACATCGGTAGCAATGTTATAGCATCTACTACTGATTTATTGTTTACAAATTCTAAACCTATACGTAAATAATGGTCTGTAAATGCTATTAGAAGTTGTCACTGAACGACTCGCCTGGGTTGTGAATATTGAAAAATATATGATGTAACAATCTTAGTTATAAGTTATGTGCTACAGTAGTAATATCCAAATTATTTAAGACTTTATAGATAAGATATAACGTTTTCGAATGATTATGAGCATAATACCGTAGTATCTTTGAAGGAATGAGAATAACCTATAACATTACTTGTACATGTATGTACGTGTGTTAATCAGAGTTACTTTAAGTGCACGACACAAAGTGTGACACGGAAATTCCGTTTTATGTAGTACTGTAACTGTACTTTCTGAACTGACCGTAGTCGAAAAGAAGTTATGTACCTTTTCTCTAGTTTCTATCCAAATTCATATTGGGCGTTATATCAAAAATTTTTTGTAACTTCAGGTAATGAAACCAATCCAAAGCATGTTTCTAGCAAGTAGCAAGAAGACTCAGGTAAAGCAGAGTCTTTGAATTTTAGTGATCCACTGTTTTTTTTATGTTCTGGCTATGCTAACACCGTATCTTATGTTTATGTGTTCTTCTAGAATAACAAGAACGTAAAGTTAGAAAACGATGACCTGTTGGATGATATTTTACAAGAAATAGAGGTAAAAAAATGTTATCGAATATATTCTTCTTGACGTCTTCCAGCCCTGGCCTACATGCTGTCATGAACACTAACCCTATTCTCGATTTTAATCTCTACTTTTAGAAAAAAGACCCTGTACCAAATGCGAATAAGTCTGATCGGTAAAATATTTTAACCAGAAATATCCGTTCTATTAAATTTCGATATTAATTATTCTACTTGACCAATTACTGTCTACAATCCAATTACAGAACACCATCTAATCCTAGAAATCAAAAACAACTTACCGGAGCTGTATGTCATATAATATCTTGCAACAGCTACTTAACGCGATCGTCAGTTACATTAGTTCCAAAAGTTTTAATAATAAATCTGAACATATGCTTCGTTTAGGCTATGAAAAGGCGATTATATGTCCGTGAGCCAATTGATATTCAACCGGAGAAATCGAAAGTCACACGCGTTGACAATATTTCATGTAGGTATACAAGTCATTTGAACATATCAGGTCTGGATAATTTTTCTGGCGCAACTACAGTATTTACATCACTAAGTAAAAAGATAAAGTTTCTTTAATGTTACTTACTAATTACTCAAACGATATTATTCGATTAGTTTCTGTAATATTCTCATTTTGTATAAATCAATGAATAGCATGCAATAAAACTTTATTTTTCTGGAATTGTATTATGATGATAATAGCATTCAAAAACAGCCGGATCGATAGGAATCTAACGGAGGCTTATACAGCAAGTAGCCTTCCTGTAATAAAAAAAGAACCAGGCATATATCGTGAACCGTCGTGAGTACTGAAATGTCAATCTAATACATTGCAATCTATTATGACATCACAACAACGTAACCACGGTTTCTCCTTATGCTGCAAATATTATATCCTAAGGCTTCCGGATTCTTCTATTAAACAAGAAATTGATTCTCATACCGAAAATTACATTCCTGCTGTGAAGGTATGTGATTCTTAGTTAAGACGATAGGTTACTACTTTAGAGCAACATACGGTTTTTGTTCTGACCAACAAAACACAACTTTTTATATAGGAATCTGACCATTTTACTAGCAATGATGACTTAGACATTGTAATGAATGACATTGATGGTAAGTTATAACTAAAAATGCCATCGGTATCGGTTATTTTATACACAAAACGCTATTGAATTAAATTAAGCCCTAAAATGTTACATTTAACAAATTTGATTAAACAGCCTTCCCAGATTGTGAGAATACAGATACGGTTAATCCTGAGGAGGAAAATGTAAATGCAGTCAAAAATGACCGATTGCGTCATCTTTCTACATCGTAAGCTACATTCACTGCTACCCTAGCTATTTTACGACTGATCCTGTAAAATAAAACTAAATATATTTACGTTGGGTCGTAACAGGTCGGACTTTATTTCGAATCACGATCTGGAATTAATGACAGACGAGACGCTACATAATTCCGATTTTCAGGTACACTGTACCAACACTTACGAGTATTTTGATAATTATCTTCTTAGTCATAATATAGTGTCACTAATTAGTCGAATATTAATTCAAATTTACAGAAAGTCGATAGTATGGCTACTACAACACCCACTATACCAGTTGATGAGATAGACGGTCGGTTGCGCAACATTGCTATTCTAAACTTTTTAAGATAACGTTAATGTCTAGCACTGGCAATATAATATCAAATTTGTTGCAGGTGAAAAATATATCGACTTCTTTTGGTTTGATGCTTACGAAGACCCAAGTCTTCAGAAAGGTAGGATTAAACATTGAGATAGATAGTTCGTTATATTGTTACTTATAATTTTATCTACCGTAGGGATTATTTATCTGTTTGGTAAAGTCAAAACTAAAGAAAATGCATATGCTAGGTAATACATTGATTGGCCTAATGACTTTTATTTAAAATGTAATGAGATAATTTTCACTCGGATATAGTTGCTGCCTAATTGTGAAAAATATAGAACGCGATATTTACATCTTACCAAGAAAAACCGTAAGTGTTATTAGGAAATGTCCAAATGACGCTCATGAGACTGAAGTAGTTATTTATGCGTCTATGAAATAAAAATAACGTGAATTTATATCATGTGTAGCGTTTAGACACGGACGGTTCAGACTCGGGAATTGAAGTTACTATGAAAGATGTGTACGAGGTACTTCTATAAATATATTAAATGTGTCAAATTTTAATGAATTTTGTAAGACGATTTGGTTGATCTAAATAGGAATTTAGTGAAATTTGTAATAAGAACAAAATAATGACGTTCCGAAGCAGAGTAAGATCATAGTAAAAACAAATTATAATACTTTACGAAACAAAATATGCTAAATTACATATTTTATAATTATGTGTGTTACTGTACATTAATCGTTGACATATCAATACTATATAGGTAACTAAAAAGCGATATGCTTTTGAATTGAAAGATGTGCCTGTTGAATCGGAATATTTGCACGTTAAATATAGTGTAAGCTTTATAGACAATAAGTACATTTTAAACATGTATTTAGATGAAAATATTTCGGAATAACGTGCATTCATATTTTCCTTTCAATTCAGGCTGCTTTACCGCAAATAAAAAGTGATATGCAAGGGCAGACATTCAGTCATGTATTTGGAACCAACACGTCGAGGTCAGCTATATATTGAGTGTTCTAAGATGGAATCAAAATATTTATGTTCTGGCCAACTTTATCTTTGATTCATAGTTTGGAGTCGTTTTTACTACATAACAAAATTATGGGCCCCAACTGGCTTAGAATCAGAAACCCACGTTAGTTTCTAGTATATTGGTCAATTAGTACATAACATATGCAATTATTAATGTATAATTAATTCAATGCAATAGAATTTCCATCACAAAAAGTTAGCTACTGCAGATCTGAGGTACGTATACGCGTATACAAAATTTTGGCACTATACTTATATATCTGAAAATGACTGTATGTTGACATGTATGTAATCACATTTGCAGATTTGTGTTGATGACCCTGAAACTATTAAAGTCTTACAAGGGAATGAACTGCCTAAAATGGTACTTTTCTTGCTAATGTCAATATTTAATTTTTTTAATATTTTTACATAATTCTGCTACCATATACTGCTTTGAATTAAATTTATATCTTACCTAAAATCTATACAGACTATCCTAAGTTTCAGTATGAAAACGATCATTAACCCTAAGACTCATGAAAATGAGGTTAAAAGTTTGATATTGCTTTTTAAGTGCTAATCCTCCTACCAATTATTCCGTGTGTACTAATTTCTGATCATAATTTTATCTCTGCAATGAATTTAAAATTAATGTACCCCAGATTGTAGCGATCGCTGCTGTAACACACCAATCATTTTACTTTGATAAACCACCCCCAAAATCTTTATTCGAGGGTCACTTCGTAGGTACGTAGAAAGATGTTGATTGACTATCATCTAGTTTTACTTGCTAAAATACCATTTTATGTATTGCAAGATAAAATAAGATTACATTAGCTTAATTGAAAAGGCTACATTTTTTATTTCTAGTTATTAGAAATCTCGTCGATCATAACATCCCGATGGGTTTTCGCGATTTTATGAAACAAAAGGTTTATGTCATGTTTTACAATCATACATTTTTATTAAACAATTTTACGCTCATCAAAACTGGCGCGATTAATCTGCAATTTTAATCGAGTAGAATATAAATCTTGAAATCTCATCCACGGAAAGAGCATTATTAAGTTTTTGGCTCGCTAAAGTACAACAAATCGACCCTGATATCATCGTGGTAAGCTAACTTGTATCTTGCCATCGTTCTTTATACCTACATTGAAGTGAATGTGCCTTTTATCCAATTCTCAGGGACATAATATATGTGGATTTGATATCGATGTTATCCTTCATAGAATGAATACGTGTAAAGTAAGATACCTATCGCTTATGTCTGGCACATACTACCTTTTTGTTCTTATGCAATCTAATGGGAATGTCCTTATCTTAGGTGTCGTTATGGTCGCGAATTGGAAGAATTAAAAGACATGCCATGCCTAAATTATCTGTTAGTCTCGATGCGCACACATTTAATGGCGCATTCCGTTTATCCTCACAGCTGTATTTTAGTCTGATATGATATTAGTATCACATTTGCATTTATTATTCACCTTCGTAAATCGCTGTCATTTCCATTTAATCTTTATGATTACAGTCTACCGTCGGTGGTTTCGGATTTGCAGACCGTTCCGCTTGTTGTGGTCGATTAATTTGTGATGCCAAAACATCCGCTAAGGAATTAATTCGAGTTAAAAGTTATGATCTTACAGGTAATGTGTAAAACTGTGAACCTTAGGTCTTGCCTAGTCTTTGATAGAAATGCTTATATAATTATTTCAATTACATATCTTTGCAGAACTCACATCATACGTTCTGAAAGCGAAAAGATTCGATATTAACCAAGATGAGATTGCAGATAAATTTAAGTACGGTGTTTATGGGTTTCAAAAATTTAAATCAGTTAATAGTATTCACTAATTTCTTTGCAAACTTTTAAAATATTTTTAGCTCTGTTGGTGATCTATTCGCTCTAGTAAACCATACTTTCGTAAGTAATAAAATATCACACTGTGATAATAGTATATGAATATCATATTTCTTTACTTAAATTATATCAAACTCATAATAGATGGATGCAACCTTTGCCTTGCGGATTGTGTATGAGTTGAACGTAAGCATCTTAGAAATTTAAGGTCAATTATGGCGATCAATTTTCAGCTCAAGGAATTTTCTTATTTACTTTTTAACGGACAGGCGTTACCCTTAGCCTTACAAATTACCAACATTGTTGGAAATGTACTATCACGAACTCTCCTTGGTGGAAGATCGGAGAGAAATGAATTTTTACTCCTGCACGCATTTTCTGAAAAGTAAAGATTTAAAGAATTGCTGAATATTTAAATAGTACAAATTTTCTAAGTGTTATAATTTTATTACTATAGAGATTTCGTTTGTCCTGATAAAAGTTTTAAAAAGAAGCAACAGGTTTGGGCTCTATACGAATTTAACTTTTTATGCAATATTGATAATAATTGTATGTTACAAACTTGAAAATATCAGTTTAATGAAGAATTTGAAGACCACGATGATGCGGCAAAATCTAATAATAGGCGTAAAAAGCCGGCGTATTCCGGTGGTTTAGTTCTTGAACCAAAAAAAGGTATAACGCGAGTTGTTCTTAGTGGTATAACTAAATTATGTCCCTCATGATTTCATTGATGAATATTACTTACTTTGCTTTTCCTAGGCTTCTATGACAAATATATTTTGCTGCTGGATTTTAACAGTCTGTATCCGACGATCATTCAAGAATTTAACATATGCCTCACTACAGTTGATCGTCATCATCTTGCAGCGGATGAGAACAATGATAACGTATGCCTACATTTCTGTCACTTTTAATGTCAAAAGATTTCGTTGTAGCTACATAAATGAGGTCGAATGATTATCATGATCGATACTTGCTATAGGAGTTGGAATGTGAATATCCTAGTCCAGACTTAGAGCCTGGTGTTCTTCCGCTAATCCTGAAAGGACTTGTAGAGCGACGAAGAGAGGTATTTGTACAGCATATCTTATTTTGGCTGATAGTTAAGCTGCTGTTAACATCTTATGTACAATTAAAATTATAAAGGTAAAAGGCTTAATGAAAAGTTGCAAAGATGAATTGGCCTATAAACAAGTAAGTATAGCCTACTACTGGTAATACCGAAATATTTCGTTTTGGGAGTACGGCCACCTGTACTTAAGACTAATATTCCTCATTCATCGTCTTGTATTGCAGTATGACATTCGCCAAAAAGCTCTGAAATTAACGGCAAACAGGTACATCATTCATATGCCTGTTACAACTTAGAATTTAAATTAAGACGTACTCTAATGCTTATTATATTGCAGCTTGTATGGCTGTTTAGGATTTTCGAATTCGAGATTTTATGCAAAACCTTTAGCCGCTTTGGTAACAAGTAAAGGAAGAGAGGTAGAAAACTATATTATTTATTTGTCATGCTTGCGTTTTAAAGCTAAAGATATTTTTGTTTTTCCAAGATTTTAACTAAAGCTAAAGAATTGGTGGAAAATGTAAGATATAATAGTCAAACATATTAAATAATGAATATTTCCTTCGTCATATAAAATTACTTAAATCATGTTTCTTTGAATTACAGCAAATGTTATTGGAAGTTATTTATGGTGATACCGATTCAATCATGATAAATACCAATTCAACTAACTTAGACGAAGCTTATAACCTTGGTCATAAAGTGAAAGCAGAAATTAACAAATCCCATAGACTTTTAGAAATAGACATTGACGGTGTCTTCAAATCTATGCTTTTGCTAAAGAAAAAGAAGTACGATATTTACTACAATATTTATACGAAAAGCTAGATATAACGAAACGATATATTAACTTAATATAATTTCATTTTACAAGGTACGCAGCTCTTGCAATCCAAAAGAATGAAGACGGTAGGAAGTTGTTTTTCGATATCAAAATTTTTCTCTAATAGGCTATTTGATGTCATTTGATCATTACTTTTTATCTATAGGAACTCTTTCCGAAGTTAAGGAACTGAAAGGCTTAGACATAGTCAGAAGAGATTGGTGTCAATTAGCAAAGGACGTTGGAAAGTAAACACTATGGATACATAAAATTTATAAATTTAAATCATTTGCTATAACAAGTTTAAAACTTTTCCAGCTACGCCCTATCACAAATTTTATCTTCGGATTCTCGTGAGAATATTGTCGATAAAATTCATTCCTATCTCACTGAAGGTAATTTATTACTATCTTCCTGAAATAATAATTAAGTTAAAACGTTTGTTTATCTTGGAAGTTCTACTTTATTAGCCAGTAAAAACTAAATATTGATGAAAATTTTAAAATTTCGTTTTTGTTTTATAATTAGTTGGAGACGACGTCCGTTCCGGTCGCATCGACATAGATAAATACGTTATTTTAAAAGTATGTCTTCATATTATACAGGAAGTTAGATATTCTGACTATGGTAAATGTCTATTTGCTTTAAAATTTTAATTCCTCTACTGCCAATACAGACTTTGTCGAAGTCGCCTAACGATTACCCTGATAAAAAGAGCTTACCTCATATTCATGTGGCGTTATGGATGCAAACTGAAAATCGTAGAGTGCAAATTGGTGATGCTGTTCCTTATGTAATTTGTGATGTAAGTGCTGCTACCAAATTATGCACGTATATATCCATGGAAAATAATTACTGGATGACAACAGTTAACTCCTATTGCAACTTAGGATGGATCGCAGTTAAATGTCGCCCAACGAGCCTTCCATCCTGACCAATTTCGCAGATCTGATTCCCTTAAGATTGGTATGTGCTAAGAATTCTATTCTTGAAATTAAGCTATTATCAATAGTTATTCCGAATTCGAACAGATTCTATCCCTGCGATTTGTGAAATTATAGTAACTTCATTTTTAATTTACACTTGTTGTATTTGTACCTTTCATGCAGATTTTAAGTATTATCTGGCATATCAAATACACCCCGTTGTTTCACGCCTATGTGATCCTATAGAGGGTACAGATTCCGCTCGGATAGCTGACTGCTTAGGTATTATATTACGAATTTAAAAAAGTCTGTAGTAGCTGTTGCAAATGATTCTTTGTACTGAACAGTTTCTTATGTTTCGCTAGGTTTGGATGGCTCACAATACAAACATAAGAGCTATTCAGCAGAACAAAATGAATCTGATGCCATGCTTGGTGATATGCATATGAGCTTGGAAGAACAGTTTAAGGTTAATTTACAATATTAAGATTAATTGGGAATTCTTATTAATGATTAATTTCAATTCTACTATGTCACAGAACGTGGAACCTCTAAAAATTAGTTGTCCGAAATGTAAGGTAACAGAAGATTTTGCCGGTGCATATAATAAGGTAAGGACCAAATACAATTTGTTATTTGCTGCTACGTTGTTATATCAATGATATTATCATCAAAAATAATTTACAGACTACGAAGCAATCGGGACTAGTATGTCCTCATTGCAACAGCAACTATAATGTTGTTACGATACAGAATAAAGTTGTCTCAGAAATCCGAAAATTTATTAAAACATATTACCAGGTTTGATTGTAATTATCAACCTATTATAATTCGATATATGTCAGAAGGCAGTATTAAACTGATGTGTATGCTATTAAATATTTTAGAATTGGATGCAATGTGATGATCCATCTTGTGATTATAAAATGCGGCAAGCTCCGTATTTTATCTCTGGTCGTACTATTCGTTGTCCTGCATGCGAAAGGGGACATCTAACTCTAACGGTAAGATGCTACTGAATAAAAATGTTATCGAAGTTTTACTCTTTTTATCTTGCCTAAAATTGATCATGTTACTATTAGTACTCTGAAAAATCTTTGTACAATCAAATTCTCTACTATCAACATTTATTCGATATCGATCAGATTGAAAAGGGGATCCGTATAGGTAATCTATAGGAATTATAGGATATTCAGAAATGAAATTAAATCTTGTGTTAATAACTTACTGTCTTGAATCGGATAATTTACTTTTACGTCTTTTGTTATTGATATAGATCAAAATATTAAAGCCGATTTTAAGAATTTGTATGGCACCGTCAACAAGATCATATCGCGCAATGGCTATTCAGAAATTAATCTCAGCAAGTTATTCCAACGATTATTTACTGGTCCAGCTAAGCGTTAAAAAAGTACCGCTAAAGGCTTCAATTGAGACCAAGCTAAATCTGATGAAAGTACTTTACTGTCTTGTCATGAATGTTGTTATTATATTATTATTACTAGTAGATCTGCCTGCATTATTGAAACGTGTTGATGTGGATGGATATCATTTGGTATGCCGTGTAATCATTTGATTTCATACTGTAAAGTTTGAAAATTTTTATGTGTATCATCCATTTGACTTTAGGGGCAGGCTAGTACATATTATATAGGATTATGTTTGATTTAATATGTATACTAAATATTACAAGTCTAATGTAATTACTTATACAAAACTGTGTGATAAGTCTATATGCAATACGATATCAGTACGCTGGAATCCTTCAACAAGTACAGCATACATTCTATACTGTAGCTTAATAATGGGTGCATTGCAATTTGTTAACCTAGTCTAGATTGGCCACCTATGCAATTGAAATCAGAAGAGAATTCAGTTTGATCCGATAGCAACCTCCTACAAAACGATTATACTCGTCTAACCGGACACTGTAAACAGTGCTATTTTCGGAGAGATGGAGCGCGAAAATCTGGATAGATCGAATCTACTACCTAGGATAATTTACATCATTGTCATTGACTTCTAAATTATCTATAAAAACATTACGCAGTCATTGCCGAAATAGATAATACCATATATCCTGGTATCACACGCCTAGCATAGCTGTAGTCTACATACAGTGCTACTGTATGTAAGGCAAATTAACATTCCAAGCTATTGCAAATAAATCATTTTAGAGAGCGAAACAGTACCAAGACCTGCATGCTGCATTAGTTCACAGAAAGGTTACTCAAGACCTCCAAGATTTTACTCTAACTCCAGGTGTTTTGCTGAAACGGCTTAGCCCGTCAGACTTGGTATCCATTGCAGTTGGTACCAAGCTAGAGCTTCGAAGAACTTTGCTACGATTGAAAGTTTTTTTCCACCTTATGCTGAAATAGCTCAGCTAGAAGCACTTGTTAGAGCATACTGTCGTTCTCAAGTCATTTAGTAAACACTGAGTGTTCACTTGTTTCTGAAATAGCTCAGTTATTAGGCGTATCGTAGTTATTAGAACGTACTCAGTAGCGTTTAGTACTAAAGTTACAGCAAACTTCCTTAATTCAAGATTGAAAGTTCTTCTTCATCTGTTGCTGCAACAACTTAACCGATCAACAATTTCAATTGGTGCAGAGCATCCAACTTTTAGCAAGACGGAGACAGCTCGGCTAATAGTACTGATTAATGATTTCGAACTAGAATGGACTCAGTAGCGTGCAGCACTCATTTTCAGTCAACTTTCTTCAAGATTGAAAGTTTTTTTCATCTGCTGCTATAGCTAAACAGATAATAACATCATTCTTCTTTGGTGAAGAGCATCCTCGTTGCAGTAAACTTTTAGTAAGACTGAGACAGCTCAGCAAATGGTCCTTGTAAATTATAACTAGAATCCACTCAGTAACATGTAGTACTAAAGTTTCAGTAAACTTCATCTAATTTTTAAAAATGGGAAAATCGATACAGATTCTCTTCCATTTCACTGACATTTGTAATATACTGTACAGCGGCCGAGGAGGACCGACATGTTGCAATCAACCACGTTAGCATGACCGTAATAAGGTCAAAGCAAAGGCCGCGCGGTTGAGTGTACACAGTACAGTGTCACGTGTAAAATCCATGATATCGTATTTGCGATGGCGTGGGAGATATTCTATTTCGTGTACAACAACATTATGCCATACAAGCCAACAATATCACCACCCCAGCGGCATTCTTCCATATTCATACACTATCAGGGACTACGAAAAGGAAAGAAATTTCTAGTTTTTAGCAGTCTATGATCAATTTGAAGTGACCACTGAATGGAATCTCAAAGCTATCCTATAACTATACAAGGATCCATTCCTGAGTAAAACGAATGTCATCATTTTGTAGTACTCTGTAGGCCAATGACAGACATAACCTACTTCATCCACTACAGACCATACAACACTGGTCAAAAGTGTGTACGACGTGTTCCGGTACGGTACCATACAGTCCAGTCGCAGTGAAAGTCTACTGGGAGTCTGTCGTCGAAGCATGACACCTCAAGACCACAGTGTGGTCTAGAGTCTGTAAGCAACCAAACTTTGGCGCCAAAGTCAACGCTTGCGTAGTACTAAAGCACTCGTCCACACTAGAAGATCCCTCATACCCGGCAACCCAGGCTGCAGGTCGTTCTTCCAAAATGGAGTACAACAAGTCTTTTGACGATCTCCTAAGCAATTTAATGCTAGCTGACAATGATATTAGAAATGCTGCTGAGGTTTGTCTTATTATCTAGTACAATTCTATCTTAAGATATTGAATAACTCTGTAAATTTGGACCCAAAATCAAAACCCATTTAAAGTATCTAGCTTGCCATTTCTGTCTACAATTTTGGGATCCGCTGATTGTACTCTACCTCTTACTTACCATGCAGTATAATATCCAGTATGTTGTAGTCCACCTCGCTAGGGACAGTACGGACAATCTGTACATCAAATCGTCTTGATTTAATAACGTATGATATCTAACAATGAATGATCTTGGGACATTTTTATACTATTCGATCTGTATGGAGCTTTTGGATGATTCAATCCCGCTCGATCTACTTACAACATACTAGTTGATGAAGCGTGTAAAATCTTTCTTGGTCACTGGAAAGAGTTAACGCCTGCATTGAGTCAGTCAGAATCCCCACTAGGATCCAAGCTCATGGAAGAGAATTCTGAACTTGGCGCGTTCTTTCTTCCCACTTGACTCATCGTTCCACCAAGTAGAACGGATTTCAAATTTCAATCTGTTTTTTCTATCCTCTTTTATTAGCGATCGTTACTCTCGATTACTAGGCATAAAATGGACTGCAGATTAATTTCTTCATCAATGAAGCGATATCAGAATATAGAATCCCACGCCTCAACACTCATGCTGCGGTAGTACTGCTATCCGATTGTTGTACAGTAGGATATAAATGTGGACTTAAAAGAGAGTAGGGAAAAAATAGAGAACATACATGGTTTTACTACTTGTTAACAACACACCGATTATCGCAATCGTCCTACTCTTCATCTGATACCACTGACTAAACTCCGTCGGATCAAGTCCGAAATACGTCTATCGATGAAAAGTCCATACCCATACATCCTACAATGTCGACAATAATGAGCGAACTTGCCTTGACTACAGATTGTCCGGAAGTTGATATAATATCGTACAGTATTGCAAATCTTGCATTGAATACTTTTTTCTACTCCATATTGTAATGCATACCAATTCATCCAGTCTTGGTAAAATCTGCAATATACTAATCGCAAGGATCAATCAAGCAAAGTGTGATATCGTGCTAGAACTACTTTTCCAACTAATTTATTCTGTATGTTCTTTACCCTTAAAATGAAATTTCGCGCGAGTTGCTTATTATTTTAATGAGAATGGAGACCCTAGCAGTACGGTAACGCTGACCCCTGTGTCTGATACATACGTGACGCATAGTCATGATGGTATCGAGCCATCAATTGACCGTTTGTTACACCCAATGTCGACGATTTCACACGCCCCTCTTGTCCACGACTAGGTAGTATTATGGTAGTACTATAGCATGGTGATAGAGTCCAGGGAGGACTTCAACGCTCTGTCCTACTCCCCTAAAAAGGATGTCAAAACTCTCATCTTCAAAATAAAGAAGAGAAAATAGTAGTAAGTGTACGATCGGTGACTTAATATCATTTTGATGGGAAAGGAAGATTTGAGTAGCTCGTAGTAAATCATTTCATGCATCTTCACTACAGTACACTGTATCGATTGGGAAGACTGTCTTCACCATAGCTTGCATAGAAAAGATTGATATTTCTATTGTAAGAAATTGAGTGCTTGATAGTGTTTTTCACTATAATTTTACTTTCTCCATATTGTATTTACCCATCGCACTAGACCTAAATTTAGTCCATTGAAGAAAATAAGATTTAATCGACTATTAATTAATCTGAAGCATTGACAAAAGCCAATCCATTTCTTGTCTGATTCACAAGGCATGCTAGCTACGGACATGCGGACTGAACAGAAATTCGGTACTGTACTAACTTGCAATCATTTTCCAAAATAGCCAACTGAGACACCAGTTATATTCATGGCTAGAATAAATATACTTACTGATGCACAAAACTGGCTGCTAGATGATTGCTAGTATATCGATAACGTTATCCTATCGACCTGTTCTATAACTTGCTATTCAAACTTGGCGATGTTTAGTTCTTACAAAATAAAAGACAGCACATCACAGTAGCCAAGACTACAGGGGAAATGGGGATTTTTAACACTTTATGCTAAAATGAATATTAAATATTACTTGTAGAATATGGCAAAATCGAATCCCTGTAATGAAACATCTCTTGACACCAGGCAGAGATCGCTTTTTGCAACAAGTTATTCACTATTCAAAATTATATATTATTTATAGAGATGCATCCCTACTAAACAGGAAATACTCCTATTCATACCATCGTTATTGTAACTGGCATTTTAATAATCATTAATACGAGTCACTGCAAATTTTCCGATCGTGGCCACATATTCTGTATACCCCCATTTCTAGCGATGCACAGGTTGGATACTGTTGATCCATACATCAAAACTATAAATTAATTAACGGACCATACAGCAGGGGTAGAGCGTGGATGTGCACGTAATACCTATCGATTGCAACCGCTTGATTAAAGACTAACATACTTTTTGCATGTTTTCATTTTTGAACAGCAACAATATTCCAATTTTCCATTCTCTACAAAATTGCCTATGCTAATTCAATCCATACGAAATTCTCCAAACATCGAGGTAAAGATCTCTAGTAATATAGTATCAAAATAGAAATTCCTTAACTAAATACACGTATGGTTGAAAAGTAGTAATAGACATTATTACTTTGTCAGCTCAACGTAGTATGACAACCAATATTTTTCAAAGCTATTATCACTTATTTTATAAATCTAATTACTAATTATATTGTTATAGAATCGACAATTAGCTGCCGTCCTTTTTAGAAAAGTTTTAAATGACAAGAACGATGAATATAGAAAATTAGATGAGTCTTCTCAGCAATACTGCAAGACGGAATTATTAACAGCACTTCAAAGCGAAGAAAGCGATTTAGTGAGACGAAAAGTCTGTGATGCTGTCGCCGAATTAGCTCGACTTTATGTTGGTTAGTAAATCTACGTATAGGCTATTTTTCTGTGCTTAAATGAAATTACAAATTATCCTTTTATACGTTGAATTTTATTAATTACAGATGAGTTAATATTATGACGTGCGAAATGGTAGTAATTAATTAATTACTTGATAATTTAGTCACCTTACGCGTGATGTTAAAATCTCTTAAAATAGCACTTGCACACTAACATTCCCTCTACTCAAAACCATTGGCTCTCTATATCTATTATAAAGTCATTCTACTTGTAGTATACGATAAAAAATAAAGCAGTTAACCTGTTCTACAGTATTGATACACTACATGCAATACTCATATTGAACACACCTATTGTAGCCTAACTCATTTGAAAGAGTACGCTCTGATACCATACTAGACTATAGATCGACCTTAACTTATTGCATGCCCACGGAAGGTTTCAATAACTAAAAAAATTGCCAAGATCACTGCTCTCACTCAAGCAATACAACGAAGCTGAAATATTCTTGCTTGATAAAATAATAAAAGTGATAGAGAGTAACTGTATCTCTTGGCTTGAATCTGTAGTTTTGAAGCGAGTAAATAATTACAATCAACAATCGCTCGATAGAAAATGCTTAATTTTGAAGACGTAGACCAAAAAAAGCTAAATGTAATGATTTTAACATTCATAGCTTTCTCTTAGACGGTTATTCCTCCTGATAATTTATCCCTACTGAGTATCACCGAGCGATATTTTATTACAGATATAATTATTACGCAATTTTAAATTCTAATATTTTTATATAAGCATACCGCTATGGCTTGTAAAAATTGTGCTACTATGATACAGTTTAATACCTAATATTATGAATATTCAGAAATTTTCCATTTTGTGATAACTAGACGACGACAACCAAAACCTATGGCCTGAAATACTGCAATTTTTGTTTCAATTTGCTAACTCTCCAAATTTATCTCATAAGGAAGTTGCCTTACAAATCTTTCGGTAAATGTGATTTTATTAGTGTTTGTAATTAGTGTTTAGGTTAATATTTTTTGCTCAAAGTATTCAGATATGGCACGCCTGCTGTATTTACTAATACTAATGATAAAAACGTAGGATAAAAGTTTGGTTTCATATAATTTTTACACACGGCTACCATCTATTAATCAACAAGGACATATAGACTTTGTAAAATAGATTTCGATGCTGTCTCTTATATTATTTATTGATACTAAACTCTTTCCGGTATTAATGCCTGATTTTATTCTATTATCATAGTAACTTCCCAACGATATTTGGTAATCAACAAACTCACTATTTAGAAGTCATTAAAAGAATGCTATTTCAGTGTATGTCAGATACAACCAATCACAAGGTTAGTTTAATAGCTAGCGATCTTTCTCATGTGCAACATTTAAAGTTATTCACAATGATCTCATTGCTGTTAAGTTTTTTTGGTTAATAAACTTATCCAATTCTATAGATGTACTCATAGACTAAATGTTAACCATGGTATTTATTAATAAATACTATACAATATCAATTGTTCAATTGTTATCGCAGATTGCATATTTAGCTGTCGATGCCACTACTGCGTTTTTAATGGTAAATGATAACGATCAACTACGTAGACATTTTCAAGATATGGTACCACCGATACTAACGGTAATTCTAGAATGGTTCTTAGATTTTACGTAATCTGCTGTATAAGTAACGTTATCATTTTGATTACTTTCTATCACAGGTCGTTCAAATGTGTCTAGCTAAAACCGACGATGACAGTCCGTTAAAAAATTTAATCGAAATTGCTGAAGCAATACCGAAAATAATCAGGCCTCATTTGAATGACTTAGCTGTTGAATTAATAAAGGTACAGACTTTATCTACTGATTTCATCAGAGTTGAATAACTGGAATTATGAATTCGAATTATATAAATATTACGCTTGTTATAGAATATCAGCAATTCGCAAGCAGAAAGCAACTATAGACAATTATCTCTGGAAGTATTAGTGACTTTAGCTGAATCAGGTAGATACATCACAGCAATACTTTTTTGCTCGTACAACAGTTTGTTATCATCAGAGTACTAAATAGTTTACTTTCATTTATTGCATACATTTTTTTTTACAGCCCCAGCTATGATGAGAAAACACGGACAAATTATTATACAATTGAGTAAGTAATTCTATTTCTTTTCTTAATTCTACAAGATGTAAAATTGCAATCGCACGCAATAATTAACGATTTAAAATCTGCACTAAAACCTCTATACCTAATATTTTTATCTGATAGTACCCCAGTGTTTGTCAATGATGATAGATCTGGAGGATGATCCTGAATGGAGTGCTTGGGATAATAGTGATGATCCGGAAGATTCTGACAGGTAAGCCTTATTACTGTTAAATTTCTTTACAATGTCAATAGAAAATTTCGCTTACGTCTTGTTTGCTAAAAATGGAATAGCAACCCTATCGTGGCTGAATTTGCTCTCGATCGTTTAGCTATGGCACTTGGTGGTAAAGCCATTTTACCTCATATTGTCAGTGTTGTACCACAAATGTTGCAAAATGGTGAGTAGTTACTGATGTAGCAATTATTTGGCCAACTTATACTAACGCTATAAAATATCACTTACGTTACATAGGAGATTGGCGATATAAGTATGCTGGATTAATGGCTATATCGGCTGTTGCGGATGGATGCCAGAAACAAATGATGCAACTTTTAACCAATGTAGTCATGACAATACTTCCGTTTTTAAAAGATGAGGTTAGCATTTGTACTGCTTTATTATCCAATATCATGTAAGATTTATAAATTGACGCAAATCTCAAATCAAATATAATCTAGCATCCTCGTGTCCGCTACGCTGCCTGCAACGCGATTGGACAAATGTCAACTGATTTCGCAGAATACTTCCAAAAAAAATTTCATGATAAGGTATCAACAAATTTGTTACATTTATCTTGTTTTGATTATATATATATTTATTGTACCCGATATGAAAAATTTTTTAATACTATTATGATATTTTAGGTCCTTCCGCAATTGCTGGATCTCATGGATGATATCGCAAATCCTCGTGTACAAGCTCACGCATGTGCTGCGCTCTATCATTTTTGTGACGATTGCCCATCCCATATCCTGAAAATTTATCTGGAGCCAATAGCTATCAAGTTAAAAGCATTATTACAATCAAAGCTTCAGGAGGTATCTGATTTATTGATCTACGGTATATAAATGTTCTGTCAACTTAAATTTTCCCAGTACATAACGTTATACGTATCTTTAATTATGTAGCTAATGCAGCAAGGTACTAAAAATGTCCTGGAACAAGCGATTACGGCAATATCTACCGTAGCACAGAGAGCTGAAGGGAACTTTTTACCTTACTATGATCACTTCATGCCTAGTCTAAAGTTCATAATACAAAGTGCTACTACTCCTGAATATCGTTTACTGCGTGGTAAAACTATTGAATGTGTCAGCTTTATTGGCTTAGCTGTTGGTACCGATAAGGTACATTCTTGTTCTCAAATTTAAACAAACTAATACACCTTCTCACTACCTTTATCATTTCAAATATCAAAATTCTAAATAATTTACAAATTTTTGAATTGTTATGTAGTTCCTGTATGATGCCAATGATGTTATGCAGTTACTTCTCAAAACACAAACTGGTGATATCGAAATGACAGATGATGATCCACAGGTTAGTAATATAGTATTGGCCTTGCTCGGATAATCGCGTTTTTCATAAATTTTAAGTATTTTATTCAAACCCATAATTAAAATAGGTTTCATATATGATGACGGCTTGGGCTCGAATTTGCAAGATACTTGGAAAGCAATTTGTCCAGTACCTACCAGTTGTAATGCCGCCTTTAATAAAAGCTGCTTCTGCCAAGCCTGAAGTTGCAATATTTGATGGTTAGTTGAATATGCGTAAAACCGTTCAGTCTTAGTGATGCTTGGAATTTACAATTACTATATCAATTATTAATTACAGAAGACGATGAAAAAGCTCAAGACGACGGATGGGAATTTGTAAAAATTGGGGAGCAGGTACACAATTTAATAACTTTTAATATTACATCTGATATCAACTATTCAAAATTTTAATTTTATTATTACCGATTAATTTAGCAAAAGTTTGGAATAAAAACCGCTGGCCTCGATGATAAGGGAACAGCCTGTCAGATGTTGGTATGCTATGCCAAAGAATTAAAAGATGGATTTGTTGATTACGTGGAAGAGGTTAGTAGCATGTAACAATGTAGATACTATGCATAAATTAGCACTATAGTAAAATAAAATTGACCGCTCTCCTTGATAGGTTACAAAGATAATGGTCCCGCTTATGAAATTTTACCTGCATGAAGATATCCTAATACTATTTCTTATAAAACTGATTTATTATTATAATAAATGTAATCTTCTACACTAATTTGATCCTTAACAAAGGACACGTGTTAGAGGTGCAGCTATAGAATCATTACCTTACCTCATTGAAAGCGCTAAATTTAAAGGTACTTGATTACGATTACTTAAAGGATCCTTATAATTATTTTCAATGAGAGCTAGAAATAATGCTTAAACTACCACATTACAGGTGGTCTTGTAACGCAAATATGGCAGTTTGTGTTGGAAGAGATTTTTCAGGCTATTAAAATGGAACCTGAACCTGAAATGCTAGCCAATGTATTAGACTCTTTTGCTAAGGTTGGTATAGGAACTGTTATAGTCTAGATTATATATAATTATAAATATCGTGACGCGAGCTATCATTAATGCATCTATCTTTCACTTCGTTAGTGTATCGAATCATTAGGAAAAGGATGTGTAAACGGCAAAGATATGGAAAAGCTGACAGAGATTATACATGAACAAATCAAGAAATTGCAGACTAATGCTCAATTGCGACAAGGTAGACTTTATTGATGATGTCTTCGAATTGCCTTCAAGTTATGCATTTTAATCTTTATTCATCACAGAATTACGCGGCGATGAGGACTATGATGAAGAAGTTGAAGAAAATCTTCAAGAAGAGGTAGCAGATAATATTCAAAATTAGAGTAAATTCAAGGCGGTACTAAATAATAATATTTCTAATGTTATTTGTATTTGATAGAACGAATGTGACTCGGAAGTACTTGGAAAGGTGAACGATTACATTACTTTTAAATTATTCCTATCAAAGGATTAAAATTTCTTAACAAGTATTTTCTTTGCTGTACTAGGTTACAGATCTAATTCATGTACTGTTTAAAACTTACGGTCAAGAATTCTTACCAGTTTTCGACAAGTTATTGCCGGACTTTGCTGGTTTAATTGTACGTATGCATTTGTTAGGATTTTGGCAGTTACGTTAAGATCAGCTAAATCAGACCATAAAATTGTAAATCTAAATTCTGATTTACTTCCCTAGACGCCTGATCGAAACTGGCAGGAGAGGCAGTGGGCGATTTGCGCATTTGATGACTTGATTGAATATACTGGAAATGTAGAAGCCTTTA